TGGGTCAGCATGCAGTAGTTGAAATTCAGATTGATTGATAAAAATTGGGTCAACATCTTCACAAGGAAGGAGTAGTTAGTTGTGTAGTACGGGTGAAAAATTATTCGAAATATGTAACTACGCAAGTTAATATTTTAACTTAATACACGAAAATACGGAAAACCGCCAAGCACATACATCATAAACCGCATATCGTAAATAATAAAATGGATGTCGAACCTAAATAAATTAATCTAATCTCAAAAAGTGATAAGTAAGCTGTGAGTCAACAACATGAGAAAACGAATTGATACATCCTTCTAAGAATTTAATCAGATTATGGAGATTTCAATCTAAATGCATCTGTAAATAGTGCAATGCAAACATTTCTTATTCTAAGTCAATCTTTTATTCATAGCCAACTCGTGATTTCAGCTAAATACTCAAATTATTTTGATACTGCCGAGTTCTTTCATTGTCAACGTTTGAAATAATTTTTACAAAATAATCTAAACGACAACTGCATGTTTGGATGAAAAATCATGGGACTAAATACTTGTGCAGCATAATCTGCAACCTGTTCCAGTATAATTATGAATGCATGTACATCTCTGTGTGAAATGAATGAATGGAGTTTTAAGGAATTTGAAAGTTCTCATGCATGCCTGCTCCTCAACCCAGCAGACAAAAGAAAGCACATCTCTCACCAGGCAATTCCCATGCTTGCAGAAACTGAGAGTTTGGGGAGAGATCAGGTTTTGGTGGAGGATTGAAAGGGCGAGAGAGAGAGAGAAGGGAAGAAGGACGGGTCCCTTAGCAGGTGCAGGCAATAGATTTCTGAACACCTTTTCAATTGTTTATTCTCGAGTCCTCTCTTATTTTCCAATTCTCAAGCCCCACCAAACTTCCTTCTGACCCCGTCTTCTTCTTCTTCTGAATGATTTCGACTGCGATGGTCCCTTTGGTTATGCACACTCTCTAATAGCCATCGCTTCTCGGTGCTCTTTTATTCTTCTGTCCAACTAGGGAAACTATACGTCCACCACAAACAAATGAGAAAAACTGTGTGACCTTCTTCATTGATTCAGATCGGTTTCAAAGCAAAATTCTTCACAGATTTGGACTCAATGTCAAACCTCAAAACCCTTCTGTCCCCTTCCAATCCATGCACCTTACACTAAAATTCTTATGAAATGTGGTGGAAACCGTACACATTTTAGGATAACGTTTCTACCAAGGCCCATACAATTATGATTATTCGAAATTAAAAATATTCACGCAGAGAGAAAGTGTATAGTGCATGGATTTATTTAAAAATGCGAAATGTTACACCACCATGAGCTAATCTTGTGCATGTGACAGGATGCATTTATATTGAAATATGTAGATTACAAAAATTGTCCTTAGGTTTATAAAAATTGTGAGAAGGAAAAATAAATGTGACGACCCTTCTTGCTGTGTGTGAAAATATCTCTGTCCATAGAGAACCACGGCCTTTTAGCCGCATCTCACCGTCCAACGAAGGGCAATGCAAGGCAGGACAACTTTCTGAAAGGAATAAATAGGTTACGGAATCGAGAGTAAAAAAAATGTAAACTTTAAAACTTAATTTTTTCTTATACTTAATGCAGAACCCTTTGATTGAGGTTTGAGAGGGTTGTCTCCCTGCAAATTCATTCAAATTAACGGGATCTTAGGGAAAAAGGATCTAACGGTCCATTGCCAAAAAAATAGTGCTTCCTATCGTCCCTAATATTTATTATATGAAAAAATAGAAATGCATCTGCATGGGTTTTATAAATGATAACGGGAAAAGGGGGACTTATGAAAATGATGCAAAAGGTTGAGACAGGTAAAGAGAGGAATCGTCCGATCTATTCAAAGATGCCAAAAGGTTGTGAGAACGAAAGTGTTTCTTGAATCTTAAATACGTTACGGTTATAAAATCTCTACGCAAGAAAAAATTTGACCAGGCCAGGTAAGAAATGGTTACTGTTATCCCATAAAATAAGCTGAAAACGACGTATATTCTGGACAAAAAGAAGGTAATCATAATATTACTTATGTACTTGCTCTTAAGAGGAGTCTATATGAGTTACATGGACCATCATACACATTTATATATTGATGGTCATGTGTATCTGAATAAAAGTGCTCAATGACTTTGCACATGTCGTCTTTAATTATTACAAAAATGACACAAAAGTTATCAGTTAATTGCACATTTTTTTGTCTCAATAACACGCATTGAATGAGTAGTGCGGACACGTTATAATTTCCCTGTTGGTTGTTTGTTCATGAAATGCAACTTCTGGCTGTTCGTTGAAGGGATGAGTCAATTTTAATGGGTTTTTGACAGGAGATCAGGGTTAATTTAGGAGCATGGTTGTTTGCCACTAAATTAGGGTGGGGTTCGTCATTTTTAGCTGATTAAATGACAACAAGTTTCATCTTTATTTTTATGACTACCGTATCGTCCGTCGACAGAGAGAGAGAAAATTTCAGAAAGTGCTGACAGGAACTAAAAGTCAAGTCATTAGAGTGACTGGTGGTGTGAGAGAGATTGGTAGCAGCACCACAACGATGACAATAATGTGGTTGCTGCTGTTGTCTTTTTGCCGTCATTTTATATCTGTCACTGGTCCCCCTTGGTCAATATTTTGCTAGAATTATCGATTGACTTTCATCCATTCGTTCAGATAAACTTTCGTCTGGTGATAGCTTTCAATCCTCTCCAGCTTAACATCCTCCACGGAATTCAAGAGAATTAGTCATATTTATCACGACATATATTATTCCTTAAACCATGTAAATATATTTGTCTTTATAAACTCATAGTAGGAATTTATTTAAGGGAGAAAAGTTGAGGAATTCCGACTTGGAAATATTAAAGGGAAACTTAATTACTGACTGCTGCATAGCTTAACACGCTATAATCGCCGTAGTAGCTAGAACATGGCATGGCAAAATTTTAGTAGCATTTAATTATTGCGGTGGCAGTGGAGTACTAAAATTATTATGAAATAAACAAAATCAAACGGACACACACAACCTGTTCAATATTGAGAATATACTTATGTACGTACGCACACAACTACACGTAAGATTGATATCTCACTACCACCACTGGAGTTGGATAGATATATATCGTTATAAGTTTTTAAACTTTAAAAAACAAAAAAAGTCAGGTCTTACTGTCTTTCGTATTCATTTCCTCTTTCGCAGCTTTTCTTTTCTGTATACCGTTTGGCGCATGGAGAGCAGTTGGCGTCGTTTTTCACCCTTCTCCAGCTTCCACCTGCAGCATAAGTCCACTAGTTCGTGGGTGGAAAGTGCGATAAACAGGTCCATTATTGCAGTTAATAAGTCAACAGACAGAGAGAGAGTTGAACATGAAACCCTATCATGACATACATCAGTCCGTAAAATAATATCTGGATCCGACGGACACATGCCGCAGATCGGAAGTAAGTAAGGAATTAGCTGAATTTCCCTACATCCGCCTAAAAAAAGTCGGAAGTTAACTTGGTTCTGTTCTACCGTTAAACTGCTCTAAATGCATACAATTATTTCACATCAACAAAAATAGAACCTGTTCATGTGGAACAATTTCAACCTGCCCCCGGTTTTATTTCGTATTATCGTCCACTCACCATTGCCTGCCTGCCTTGTGTGTTATCATTAGTCATCCAGGAGAATGTGTCGATATGAGTCAAATGTGATAAGCATTCATGTCCAAAGTTTTGATGACATTTGACAAAATTGAAGATTAGTTTAGAACCACTAGATAGCTAGCTACACAAATATGTTGACTTTTTTTATTTGGTTGGTTCTGTGTCTGACGTAATAATTCCACATCAAGGGAACCTGAGACGATTTCACCTATTTAAATGATTGACAGGCATGTTTAAAGTGGTGAAGGTATATTGTTTGTTTACCCGTAATTAAGTTGGCAATGGTAATTAATTTCCGATCGGTGTTGCATAAATCGCGTTTCAACTTTTCAAACACAAATGGGATGAAGATGAGACGATAAGAAAAGTGTGGTGCTGGTGGTGGTGGTGGCGATGGTCTATTATTTATGGATAAGATTGAGACACATGATGCCGTGTGGCTTATGCAAAAATTGTGAAGAGAGAAATGAATTGAATCCAAGTTATAATACTTTCTCTTTTATTTTTATTATGGTGTAGAATCACTTTGCACATCAGCTCTCTCAAATGCACATGTTTCCCAATATGAAGAGATAAATGGAATTCTTTTGAGCAGGACATTGTTCCCATCATGAGACGATTGTATCAATTTTTGTGCCAGATTTATTTGATGGCATTTACAAAGTAGTAAGGTGCTCACTATGATTCTGCATATATAACTCCAAACACTTTGCCATTGTTCACCGGACGTTATTATATTCTCCCAAATTGATTGACAGCACAGTAGCAGTTTAGAGAACGTAATCATCTAATACCATAAACATGAAACGGGGTGATACAATTCAGCCATGGCTTTCTTATGCTCATGATGATGATGATGTGGTTCTCTAGTTGGGCTGCTCTGGTGACCCGTATTGTTACCAAAGCAGGTTGACCACCACACTCTGCATATCTCTCCACTCAATAAAAATAAAAATAATAATGAAATCAAATCCGCATTGTTCACCGGACTTGAGATGCATCATCATCAGCATCAGATTTCTAAAGTTGAGAAAGAGAATCCAATGACGAGGACATAAGATGAAATGAGAGAGAGAGAGGCAGGTGAGTGGGGAAGGAAGGTGAGTCGTCTTGGTCGTTATCAGAATCATGAAGAATTACTGACTATGAAAAACAATAATAAAAAATGTTGCCAATTTTACATGTCCAATATTTCTCATAAATATTATTAGTTATTCGTAGATTTGAGATTTTATATTCTTTTAGTGTAAATGACCGTAAATGAAATGTCTCATATTTCCAAATCACAGCCGAACCAAAACCACATTTCTGCCATCTACACCCATCCACCACGAACCCATCCATACACGAAAAATACCTTTGATTTTGACACGTCTCTGGATTCTCCTGTCCTGGCTGATTTGTCCAGCTTCTTTTTGTCTAAAAAATAAAATAATCGTCCGCCCTCCGACCACACCCACAGAGAGAAGAATGACGTCCTTGGGAGGAGTAATTTCCAAGTTTATGGGGGAGTATGATTCCAAAACGCCGAAAAGGTTGAAGATTGTGGACGCCTATCTTTTCTACATCCTCCTCACCGGCATTATCCAGTTTGTTTACTGTTGTCTCGTGGGGACGTTTCCCTTCAACTCTTTCCTCTCCGGGTTCATCTCTTCAGTCGCCTCCTTCGTCCTGGCTGGTGAGTCCTACCACACCCACTCTCCACCTAATTTTACTATTATAATGATGTTAAAAGTTAAAATATGTAAAAATATTTTTGTTTACAGTTTGTCTTCGGATTCAAGTCAACCCGGAGAATAAGAGTTTGTTCCTCGATATCAGTCAAGAACGAGCTTTTGCTGATTTCGTCATTGCCCACTTGCTCCTCCACTTGGTCGTCGTCAACTTTATTGGATAAGCCTAATAGTCTATTTAATCCCTTCCTTGTATTTCTATTTATACATGAATGAGTATGAGGACTATTATCTAACTCATTCCACATTGTTAACACATTAAATTCATATTTTTCAATTCTCCAGCATGGTTATTGTTAAAGCTAGTTGTTATATGAGCGGTGCGAATTACCAAAAAAAAGTTTTAATAAATTGGAGATGTATGGTTCGGTATAACAGTTGTATACATATATTTTGATGGCAATACTTTTAGACTAGACATGATATTTTGATGGAGAGACTAATATATTATGACTCGGTGATCGATTGATTAAATGCGAATAATCACAGTTTTCCATATAAAAATATACTATAATCTTCAATGAACATCACCATTGACTGCAAACTCGATTTCTTCATCGTCGCTATTCAAAGGTGAGACTCGAATATTTTGGTACCATCGGTTCGTTAAATCTGTCATTTGACTTTGACAATCACGGAGTTCCTCTTGTGTGAAACGACGAGTAAAAAAAGGCCTCAAATACTTGGCGTCAATTCGTAGAAAGGCATTTTGTGTGGCAATAGTCCCTTCAAGCTCTTCTTCCGTAAGCTCGGACAAGTGCTCTGAATCAATCGTTTGACCCTACGTCCAATAATCCAAAAATATTACGTGTGAAAAAATGCAACATATAACATCAACATGTAAGAATAGAATTATGTATATTATTACCATTTCTTTAGTTTTACTCAGAGATATGACGTTACTTCTTCTTCGACTGTTGCGTCTTCTTCGCGTTCGTCTGCTGTCACCTTGCACGTACTGCAACATGAACATGATAAATTAAATTACAGGGTATAATTAATTTTCCATTGATTTTGCTTGATGAATACGTGTGCGTATTATTACTTTCACAATTGGCATCGTTAATCCTCCAAATACTAACGTGGTAAACAATATAATAATTAGCGTGGTCGTGATAATCACTTGTCTCGTCTCTGTTTCAAACTCCAAATGTAAACTTAAAGCGTATGCAATAGCTCCTCTAAGTCCTACGATATTTAAACAAAGTTAATATATATTTCATGAATAAAAATACACAAGTATAAATTCACCAGAAAACCACATTACAAACATCTGAGATACAGAAATTCTGTGAGTCCGGAATTTGTTGACCAGATTCCCAAGGGGAAATATATTTAATGCTCTGCCCAGCAAGCATAAAATTATGCTCCATATTACAAGAGCAATCTCTATCCGGTGGTGAAAGCTGAATATTGCCAGTCCCAAATATGCAAACACGCAAGTTTCTGCATTGAATCGTGGAAATTTAGATTTTTTGCTATTTGTTTTTGCATCATTCATATTAAACGACTCACCAGCGATAAAAGCTAAAGTTCGCATAGTTTGTTGACTGTAAAATCAAAAAAATAAAATCTCAAGAGCTATAAAAATGATATAAACAGAATTAATTATTTTCACATACATTGTTATTTGTGTAACTGGAGAGAGATTAAAATGTGTATAGTGAGACATTCCGACCCCACAAAACAGAATCGCCATAATCCCTGAAAAAAATATAGAAAAAAATGTAGATACAAATTTTTTGTTAGATGATGAGACTAATACCAGATAAATGAACCCCTTCTGCCAAAGTGTAAGGCCCATAAGTGAATATTAACATCATTCCAAATTCTAGGGACGGATTTTTTCGCAGATCTACGTGATTCAGTTTAAAATAATTAATAAATCGTACCGTTAAAAACTTTCAAGGTTTAAGTTTGGTTGCCTAACCAATGTGTTTTAATAACAAGGCACTTGTCAAGGCAAATGCAATTCCAATTCCGGCAGAAGTGAAAAATAAAAAGCAGAAATTTTTCATTCCCTCCAAGAGAGATGCAGATGCATCAGTGTTCAGTTGAAGAACAGTCCTTTTAAAGACAATAATAAAGTACATTATTGAGGACATGACTTTCTCTTATTATCAGGTTGAAGTAGTAATCTTACGAGGTGAGCACAATAGCGACTGCGTCATTTAAAATGCTTTCTATATCAAATACAATGCATTTTCAGTACAACATAATGTACATTCCTAGTAAATTTAATAATTGATAATTACCTCCAAACACCAACATTTTCAATACTGGGTCTACGTCCAACGCTGTAAAAATTGCAAGTGTGGCTACAGGATCCACCGCACTTATGAGGGAACCAAAGGCGAAACTCTCCACAAAGTTTAGCTTGTAAACAATATCCGCCTTTAGAAAAGGAAAATATTTAGAGCACAACGTTTACTTAATATTTCTTAAAAAATATATTTACCACTCCTAAAAGGTACACTCCTCCACCAAAAACTAATGCATTTATAACAGTCCCAATTACTGCAAAGACACTGATGCTCCCAATATTTTGGAAAAAATTTCCCTGCAAAATTCAAAGCAATGATTGAACAAATGGCTTACTAATGACTGAATAGTGGAAACACATACCTTATGCAAATTATAACCCGACTCAAAAATAATGGGGGGCAAGAGCACCAAGAAAAAAGCAGTGGGAGAAAGGGCTTCCTCTTTCTAAAATGGAAACATTATTTTGATTTGGATACGCACATTAAAGTTTGCAAACTCTCTTCGAAAGAGGATTTATGGAGAGTGTATAGTTTGCAGTTGAAGAGGTGACAGACCTGCCAATTCCCAAAGTCAGCATTAGCCTCGGAAAGCAATTTCAAAAATAGTCCAATAAGCGCACCTATCAAGATACTATCAATTTAGCAACCGATGATATTCTACGGTCAACTAATAAATCATAAGTCTTACCAAGAAATATCACAACAATACTTTCTGGAAGGTATTGCAAATTTGTTTGAATCATTACATGAATCGAAAGGATGCATACGCCTGCAAGACCAATAAATAGTACGTGAATGATAATAAAATGACCAATTAAAAATTAATTCTCGTAAACTAACCTAAGACACAGAGTACAAAGAAAATGGCCATAGAACTGCTATGTTCCTGCTCCGCCAGTGAATCTACATTGACTGTAGCTGGAGGTTGTGGGGATGTAGCCAACGGAGCCAATGATGATGGTGACGCTTGTGATACCCTGAAGTACATATGCATTTTTAACCACACTATAATAAATGGAACAAACGAAAAAAGTAGGCAAAATTTACCCAATACTAGAGTCCAACGATGTGTCACCTTGACCAATTAAATGTTGAGGAATTGAATTGTTTACCAAATTTTGCCCAGACGAGTTGACCGCTATCGACGAGTTATTGTTAACCGTTTGATCGTCACAGTACGAGAGGTGTAGTAACGTCAATAGCAACATCCCCACCCATCTTCCCCCCTTCTTCCCCAACAACAAGTTGGGTCGTCTCATCCTTGTACAATAATTTTGCTCTTCTTATCTTCTTCGATTTCCGTCCCCAGGAAGCTCACACACACCACCAGTCCCTTCTTCATTCCACAACAACTATTGACATAAATAAATAATTGCACTGCATTGTGAGAAAATACGAATTATGTTAACAAATTGTACCAAAAAAACAAGAAGTAAGGGTTACCAATTTATAATTAAGTTTTGGAGCAGGTTTTATCCCTCATCGCAAAAATTGTTTATTGAGTGACTGTCGTGCTGTGGTTTGGAATGAAGAGTGAAAGTAAACAGAGAGTGGAGCGAGCGAGCGAGTGAATGGAGAGGAGAAAGCTGGGTTAAAGTGAGCGCTGGTTGAGCAGTGTGAATCCCGTCCTCCGCACATGTAGCACGAAAACTGAGCCGGGAGACAACTTTCGCCCCACTTTCTCTCCACTACTTTCTCTGGGCGGATTCCATCCAGGTCAGCACAGTCTTCCACTCACGTAACAAACACGTGGCAAATGATAACCTCTCAATGTTCCAGGCTCGAGAGGGGAGGATTGTCACGAAAAATCCTAAAAATTTATGATTGGAGAATTGAAGTGCTTCAACCGGAAGTCTTGATCAGCTGTTCCGAAATCAAGAATCTTATACATATCAAAAAAATCTTTCGATCCACGATTTTGAGTTTTTTTGTGTGATGGTTATTTGTATAATTTGAAAATAATTAAATTGAGACGACCAACCGATTGAGTTGCGATTATTTGTAAATATGGATCGTGTTGGAGGAATATCTAGTATGGATTCTAATATTGGAAAGATAAGAGAATCTTTGGACAGTGTGGAGGTATTTTACTCTTTTAACTAAATTTGTCTAAATGTGTAATAAATAATCTAAATAACTGTGTTTACAGATATATTCATCATCGTTTGTGGATGCGTTGAGACACAATCTTCGACTGTTTTATGTTGCATCGATCGACTGGCTTAAATCGTTAGAACAAAATGATAAAGTGTATGCCTTGAAAAATGTGTTAATCTCAAAAAGTCAAGATATTTTAGACGCATTACGATCTCACGAGGTATATGCAAAAATTTTAGACCGTGTCGACAATCTTAAATATTTCATGTACAAAGAAGGTACATTGGTCACAAGGCTACATTTAGAATTTGTTGAAAATTGTATTCTATTGATGGTTTCTAATTTATTTATATTCTGTTTAGTTTCGAAACAAGCAATTTACTTTGGTTGTGGTGGGCTTTTAACTGGAGTTATCGTTGGCGTGGCAGTTGGATACGGGTACAGAACCTCCCCTGCAGGATCTAATAGTTTTCATAATGGATCTGCAAATAATTATCTGATGCGTGGCATCGTGGCATCAAATTGTAAAAGGGGAATTGATGTGAGTTGTCGCAATTTACTTAAAATAATTTAATTGTTAAACTAAATTGCTTAAGGTACCACAAGAGAGTTGGCAAGGAATTATGCCACCCACTTTGATTGTAATTTTCTCAGAAATTATAGTAGGTACAAATTTGGTTCAAATGCAAATTTTGTAAAAAATATACTGCTCTAAATTTTGGCAAATGTCATCTTTTGCTGTTACTTATACTTCCGTATTTATAGCCAAAATAGTCGAACATGATGAATTTTTTTTAAAACTTCCTAGCGTCAAAACCATACGGAGCACAAATGTGGGACGACTCCCACATTGTGCGAAATAGTTTTACATGGGGAGCATAATGGGTCTCATTTCCATATTGTCTTCCATACTTTTCCAAATAGCATTTCTATACTTGCCCCTCCCTATTATTTTATATTTCTGAGGACAAAAATGGTTCACATCTCATTACCTGACTCAAATGAGCCCACCAACCGATTATGCACCCTGCAGAAATATATAGTGACTCCAAATAACAACCATTATGACCTCAAAGTCCACCCCCTCCATCTCGGGGAGCTCTTAAAAATACCCCAATGCCCTTGTTGCTATACGGAGCCGTACTTCATGTCTTGACTCATTTTCTCTAAAAAATTATGTTGCTAAGTCCAGAAAAAATTGAAATATTCAACCTCTTGTGGTACCTTAATAAAATTATCCTAAATTAAAGGGAATAACGCTGATGGTTTTAAAAACGCCTCAAGTTCTAAACCCTGATGACGTCATAATACAAGTACGCGCTGTTGGAATTGATATGATTGACACAGAAATTGCAAAAGGTCTCCTTCATTCCATTAGAAGGGCGCATGGATTGCGAAAAGTATGAACTAGTGTACCTTACCTGCATAAATAATACTTTAAATATATTTGATTTGCATATATAATCTTCTAGATTGGCGAACCATTTATACTTGGACGTGAATGTTCAGGGGTGGTTGTTGATGTGGGAAGTCAGGTCCAAACGTTGGAAATAAATGACCGAGTTTGGGCATATCTTCCATTGTGGAGTGGAAAAGGGGTCATGTCTGAATATGTAGCAGTGCCAGAGAAATTTGTAGCTTTGAAACCAAATAATATTAGTTTTGAAGGTGCAGCCACTATGCCCTATGCATTCATCACCTTTTGGCAAGAGTGCATTGAAAAATATCAAATTAATCCTAATGACATCAAAAATAGAAGGTCATTAACGTTAAAGATGTTGCATTCATTCATTTTGACCAGAAGATACTAATTTTGTTTCCGTTTCACAGAATCCTAATACACTTGGGGTTATCGAGTAAAAATGATGGAGTAGGACTTTTGGCAACTCAATTACTAAAATCTTGGGGTGCAAGGGTGACAATTTCGACAGAAGAAATGACAGAGGATGACTCCAGTTCAGAAGTTGCACAAATGACATTTCTCCATTCACTTAAAACGTTTGGTGCAGAAAGTCATTTAATAATTCCTGTGGATCACCATCAACTGTCAAATCTTGCTCAGAGGTAAGCAGTATAAGTATATAATAGATTTTAAAAAGTTTTAACTGATTCTTTGATCAAACTAATTCCTACTATTTTTTAGGCTATTTGACATTGTGATTAACACAGATTCGTCCAAAATAACTCCCCCGCTATCATATTTTTGTAAAAGTCCCAACGACAAAGTAATAGAAACTTTCCCGACTGAAATTAACAACTACGCACCAGGGATTGGAGCCCTGTTGTTGTCTCTCCTGTTCCCATTGAATCGAATTCTTGAACAGGTAAACATAATTCAGAACAGACGACTCGTAGTATGCAAATATATAAATATGTATTTTATGTAAATAGACGGAGAAATCGGTCGACCCACCAAATGCCAAACTAAACGAGTGTAAACGCTTAGTGGAATCCAGACTGATTGTTCCGGTTGTTGCAAAGTCATTTTTACCTAGGTATGTAAGCACTATTCATTCGTTCTGGTTCATTAAATTAACATTCCTCGACTATAAGACTAATTTAATTCTAGTCAATATGATCAAGCGTTTCGACATGTGGCACGAACGTCAGAGTCAGCCATAGCTCATGCCACAGTGGGGAAAAGTGTTTTAGTATTTAAATCAACGTTCAAATAAAATTCTAAATACGACAATTAAAAAATAGGACGTGTAATAATAATTGAAAGTTATAAATTTGGAAGTTTATTTAACGAACTTATATAAAAATTATTATGATAGCAATAACAAACCTAAATCTAGTTTTCATCGCCATTCTCCTTTGTGGTCACTTTTTCTTCATCGTCACCATTTTCATCTCCTTCACTATCATCACTATCGCCAGACACGTCTTGATTCTCCAAGTCTAATCGTTCCATCATGCTTGCCAGTTGGGCGTCATCAATCGCAGTAACAACTTTTGGCTGTAAAATTTTAACAAAATGTATACAACTTTATCGTAAGGACCATCGACTAAATTTTTCACAGCCAATTAACTTACAGCCATCTGAACATTGAAGCTCCCACCGAGACTTTTGATTGTCTCTTCAATCCGAGTAATTGCTTTTTGCAGTAATTGGATACCTTCTTGTCGTTCCGGAGTCGATGTAGTGACAACTGCAACATCAAATTAAATATATTTATTTGTTTGTACCCTAGTAAATGATAGCCTCGATAATCTAGGTGTAATATGAAGACTAACCATATAGTGGAGGAGCAATCAAATTAATTTTAACAGACATGTCATTTGATGAGCATTCCAGTCCAGCCCTCAGTGCTTTTTTGACAGCTTCGATTCCTTCGTAAGCATAACAGGACACTTCGACATCCGATCGGATCTTGACTGCCTGAGACATTAACTTTTGCTTAATGTTATCCAAAAGCATTTCCTTTGCTCGATCGTCAAGGCCACATTCATCCAGAATCGAAGGTTCTCTAAAATCATAAATCACTTATCAATATGATTTTTTAAAACTAATTAATTATGACTTCCTTACTGAACTGCCTGTTTGAATACATCATAAGCTGAAGCCTTCTTTTTATATTTTTCTTCAAAATGCCACGCTGTTTTACTGTAGAGCTCCTCCAACTGTGCATCAGTTTCATATCCTAAAAGATCAGCTACATGGCGAAGGATTGAATTGACAGCTTTTGCCTTTGAAAATTGTTCATTACACTTTTCAACATCTTCCGCGGCCACTCGACGCTTGGACAAATCAATGTAACCTAAAACAATAATTCATTCATTCATTCACTCATTGTATCATATTATTTATTGTAATAACCATCAAAGGTAATTCACCTTTTTCTTTGTCAACTCGGATAACGACGACCGGTTCGGTTTTTCCAATACGAATCAGTTTGTTCACACTGCGAATACGTCTTCTTGAAAGCTCCGAAAGTAATATCATGCCCTCAATATTATTGTGCTCGAGTAGGTGAACGTACGCTCCCATTTCTGCGATACGTTTCACGTTAACCATCACCACCTCATCCACCTCGGGATATTTCTCCTTGTAAAAGCGACAAAATAGCGGCATGTCTACACCAAACAATTATAGGAATGAATTATTAGAAACTTTAGAATAATGTTAAAATACAAAATATTAATGGAACTTACTTTCTGGGTTGGATTACTGTTCCACACGCAACAAGTACTTTCGTGTTTTCTCGTGTTGATAAGCGAAAGAAGCTGGCGAGGGGAAGTTCCGAAAAATGTTGACGACGGAAAGTGAGTGTGCAATGGGTGGAGGACTGGAGGAGAAAGAAATGGTCAATATGGCCAAGTTATCCCGGGTTTCAAAGTTCCCCTACAACTCAAATGTGGCTGATGCAATCCCGATTCGTCTCACGGTGCCCCTCACCCCATTGTCAATTTGTCTCAGGGAAAACTGAAACTGAATGAAAGCTTTGCATGCGTTGAACTTTCTCCTAATTCCGTGACTCTAAAATTTCCGTTCTGGCTCAATCTCTCTCTGCGCTTTAAAAATCCGACAGAATAATGCAAATCGCTGACTATTATGCATCCAGTTTCAGTATGTGAAGAATTTTTATACATCAAATTAATCATGTTTGCTTTGTTCCACATTCCTCTCTTTTACCATCATCATCAAGAATGAGGGAATAATGGAACTATCGAAACTGTATGAACAAGGTGTAGAGAAAAAAAAAAACTTTTTCCCGTAAAAAATGCATGTGTAGCACACACACGAGATAAAGAAAGAATGTGACTGCATATCATCATCACTCACTCAGTCACTCACAGAATAAACCACGAATCTGGAGTCGTCGTGAGTAGACGAATATCTCATGTTTTTTAAACCCTACCAGACTCACTTAATAAAGTCGAGAGAGTTGTTGTGTCGCAGTTTCTGGTGGTGATGATGGTGGTGGTGTATTTCCAAATAATATTGCGACGTGAGCATGTGTGTATGGACATTGTAAAAAAAACGACGACTGAAGACGACGGAGGCTAGACTAAGCACTTCCTCTCCGTCCGGCATTTATTATTATTCAGCCACCTCTGCTGCTGACTAGAGATAATAATATGACTTACTCTTTCTCGGTGTGAGAGCGAGCGACCAACTTTCTCCACTACGCGAAACGCGTATTTATACGAAGAAGAGCAGAGTGAGTGAGTGAGTTTGTTGATGTATGTCTGGCTGAGTAGAGTTGCTAATAAACGATGAATGAGAAGTCATGCCAATCTATATATACAGACAAATGCAAAGGAGACCGAGAATTTTGGGTTTGTTTTAAGAGAGAGACGAGAATATATAAGCAATCCTGCCTCCCCTGTCGTCCACGTCGTCGTCGTATTAATATAACGCAAACAACAGCACGCCCTCTCAGAAACTCTGTGTTTTGTTTCATTCCGAATGACCCTGAAGTTACAAAAGTTGGCATAATTTCCCTCATTCCATTCGAAATATGTATGTGCATGGTTGTTATGCACACACACAGGAAGCCGATCAGTCCAGAAAAAACAGTCTGCAATTAAAAAATGGGGGATATTATCTCCAGCATTTTTGCCCAAATTCTTCTTCTGATTGAATAAATTGGATCCAGTCCAGTCTGGAATTTTTTCCCATTTTTCCCGAATATTAAGTTAATTACAATTTAAAGTTCTCTAGTCCACCACAGGTCGTTCGTGAGTACGTACGTCCGTGTAGCAGCAGGATTTGTATGTCTCGCCAAAGTTTCATTACATCATAAAAAGCTGTTGCATTTGATTGGAGTAGAGTGTAGAGAGTTTTTTAGCCAGACAGACAGCCTGAAAGAGCAGACAGCCGAGCAGACTGACTAGACCAAAACTCCGACCGACCTCCCACCACCACCGTCGTCGTCGTCGTGCTTACCTCTCTCTGCTTATGTATACACACAAGTAGGAATATATATCTCTCCTCGTCCATGCATTCCGTTATCGGAGGAGAGAGAGAGAGGTGACATTGTCGTGGAGAAAGCAGGGCGACGTCTGTTTAGGCAGTCTCGCTTTCTCCTCCTCCTCCAGCAGACTACGTACTTTTCTCAGTAACAAAACAAGACGGCCAGACCCAGACTACTTTTCTGTGTTTGACAACCCAACTAACCCCACGACCACCACCACTTTCAGAGAAACCCGACACTCCATTGTATGCACACGCCTATGATGAGGTAGGAGTATAGGACGTGCATATGTAGGATGATGCTCGACCGACCTTGACAATGCTGCATGTAAAAATTGATGATAAAATGCAGCCCAATTCTACTCTTCAGACATTCACGAAACTAATTATGTAGCTACTACTGTGCAATTTTGAAATGATTGTTGTTTCTCCTCCTCCCCCTTCCTTTGAAGAGATGGACATACTTATTAGGCCAATTCACGCACCGTCGAATGGTAAAAAAGCGACTCTGTGTGTGCATGTGCAGCAGCCAACATCACAGCCAACTAGTCTCTCTGCTAATTGTTTTGTATGTATGATTCCTTCTTCTTCTTCTTTACGTAATTAGCTCTCGTCGGTCGTTTTACACAGAGAGCTAAATGCACTTCATGGTACGGCACACGGACCAACAAGAGCATTTTACATCACTTACATGCAATCGATACTGTGTGGTAGGTGAGGCTCTCTCTCGTAGCTGCATTATTATTATTGTGTAAAGGGTTTGAGTCACTAAGCTATGAAGCCAGACATGACACATGACAGAGGAAAAGAGGTCTAAAATACCTATGAAAATGAATTATAGGTTGGGCTCTGTCGAGAATATGTGTGTTCTCTTCTCTCTGCAATAATAAAGGTGGTTCTTCTGCACTGCACTCTCCTCGACGGAGATGCTATATACTCGTTCTTCTTATTAAAGAGATGCAGTCCGCCACATGACATGCAACTAATTCCCATTTAAATTACTGCAACTCTCGGTTCCTACTTGTTATTTTTTTACAGTTTACACGAAATTCTATCATCACGACAAGCAATAAAAAGCATAGGAGAAAGAAAAATAGACCAAATAGAAGACTGTGAGCCACACACATAATTTACTAGCAGCTCTATAGCTCCACTAGCATTCGCATATCGTTCTGTGAAGAAGAAGTAATAATAATGTGTTTCACTCTGGCAACTCCACCACCACGAGCACCACCACCTTCTTCTTCTTCTTCTTGTTCTTCTCAAGGAAAGTCAGACAGCAGGATTGCATTGCATTATTACGACGACGACCACACGAAGAAGCATTCGCTCTTGCCACGACAACTCCTCTGCTAGCACTACTGACTGGCTGGCCGTGAATGAAGCTCAGTTATCGTCACGTTATCGTCCTCCTCGGCAGCAAAGACTTCACCATTGACTGCTCGGAGAGAGAGCAGAAAGAAACTACGTGCCAGCATTATTATCATTGTCATTATCCAAGAAATCCTAATTGGAAAATCATCATCCTCGAATCGCTGCGTATAGGAGGAGGAGGTGGAGTGGTGCATATTATTATTTTAAAAATCAGCCATCACCACATTATTCCGACGACCGGCCAAGCACACTTGAGACGACTGCTGGCTGCTGCTGCTGCTCAACCCAGAGAGTGGATATTAGCGAATGACTAGCAGCTAGGAGGAGGAGGAGGCTGTATGAGAGAGCGTCGTCATTTCGAGGCCTTTTTGCACATTAGCCATCACATTCTCTCGCTGTGCATTAAAGTGCAGTGCAATTGATGCAACGTAGTCGTAATAAGAGCGGAGAGAGAACCACCACACACACGTTCTCCCAACCAGGGCCAGACATAGCTGCTAAAAACCATAAGTTGAGGAGAGAGATCTCACACAAAACCTTCATCATTTTTCGACGACGACCACATTGCAATCGCCACCGCCGTCCACCACTACATACAATTTCCAACAAATAGCTCCTTCTTCCTCGGCCCCGTCAACGTCTCAAATCAGAAGAGTGACCAAGTACGAGAAATTAGGTGACCTTTCTCCGCTGGTGGAAGGGACAGCAGTGATAATTTTGTGTAGATTGTTTTTATTATGGTTTTGCTGGCAAGAGAGTGAGTGTGCTGCTGCTGCTGAATGAAGGAGTGTGAGCAAATTGCGAGGATTTGCGAGTTACTACACAGACTTCTTTGGTGAAGTAAGAAGAAGACGAAGAGAGCAGAGTGAGAAGAAGTTGGTGGCTGGTACAAAAGTGAGAACCGCTGCACAGAACCAGAACATGGCCGCTCTCTCGTCTCGACCGCTGCCGCCGCCGCCGCCACAATACCTCCGACACTAATTAATCACCACGTAATTTCCTAGTGTTCCCGTTATCATCACTACGACTCGCCTCGTCGTCCTTGTGGTGTGGTCGTCAATTTGTGTGGAGGAGGGAGAGCGAGAACGGACCGAGAAGAGGGCCCAGAGGTTGAACTTTTTAAAAAGAAATAAGGGCAGTGCAATGTGGTGCAGCAGCTATTATGTTGGCGTAGTAGTCGTCACACATTGTTAGCATTACCATTATTGTCAAATCCTCCTGCTAACACGGAGGAGGAGGAGGAGGAAATTTTACAATGAGTTGGACAAATTATTATGACCCGACTGACGCTGTTAATTGAGATTTTATATGCAAGAACTTTTGATGGACCAATCATACGGTGAATGGTGAAGTGGTGAAAAAAAGTGTACGCCAAAGAAAATGCAAGTTTTGTTGGAATTCTTCAATTTTACATAATTTCTGAGGTAAATATTCTGTTCACAATTTGTTTCATAATTAAACCACGGCACAAATTTGGTCAGTCAAATGTTGATTTGCTTATCAATTGGTGCTGGCTGGAGTTCTTGTTTGTCTGTCTCTAATCTCAAATATTATTATAATAAATTCTATCATCCAATAATATTCGTCCTCTAACTAAACATTGGTGATGATATGGGGAGAATGACGCGTAGACACAACATACGAAATGAATGAGACACATTCTTTATAATTTGATTGACCATATTGCCAACCAAGTAACTAGTCAGGTTAAATGGTAGTTGGGAAAATTATATAATGAATCCATGCTGAACAATACCACGGTTGGTACTCTTAAAATCTACGATTTATATATTTTCTGACTAGACCAGCGTGATTAAACTCTTAAAATTTAACCTAAGTAGAGTGCAGCGTTGATTTAGCCCGAGTCAGGGTTAGTTGCTACTAAACTTTTGTTAGAGATGATCCAACTAACTACTAATTGTATTCAATCAAATTACAAAAAGTAGCGTTGGTCGATTTGTGGTGCAACCTCCGGGAAATCGGGGGGCGAAAACCGGGAAAAGAGGTTAACTTAAAAAACCCCTCCGTGAGGGACCGTTAGCGTTGGGTGGGGACCCTTTTGGGCCTAAATTTTCCTGAGTTTTCGTTTCCCCGTTTCCCAGGACAAAGACAGAAATCGGACCCACGCCCAGTTCTATCCCCCGGTATAAAAATAATCTGGTGTATCCCCCGTAACTTCATGCAAAATTTCGACCTAAGGTCATTTTCTAAAATAGTGAGGGTCACCCTATCCCCTCTAAAAAAATAATTTCGTTCTTCTATTTTCAGTTTAGTACCTACATATGTTCAATTTTCCGAATATCGGTAATCTACGATAATATTCTGCACCAACTATTACCTCACCGACTTACCTCCTCATTTGCTACTCCATCCTACGACATGGGTAACAAATTTCTAGCCGATATACGAGAGTAATCGCGGCACAGACAGACGGACATGATGGTTCCATAAGCCCTGGCTCAGGTTAAGAATTGTTAATTTGGGCAGTTAACTAGGAGTTGGTTTGGTCACATGCTATAAAACTTTTCAAATCATATATTAAATATGTGGCCTTACCGAAAAACCTACAGTTAGTTTATGATTAAAAACTCTTGGCGAAATATAAAGCGACGGAAGGAGTGGAAGCACGACGCTTGTCTGCGTCGTCGAACCTGAAACGAGGATTGAAAATAACTGATAATAACCAGCCATGAACCCTCCTTATCTTGGTTGGATTAAAAAATGCATTTTTTATTTTGACCATTTCAAAGTATGATAACCTCGTTTACACCGTGGGCAGCTATACCGCATTTTTTGGTGGTGTTTATTTGGTCCTCCGAGTGGTTCATCTGCTGACTCTACTAAATCTATTCGATGTCAACTCAAGGGTCAATAATTTCATGACATGGCGGTTTTTTTTTCTTCATGGGTACATCCTTTCTCAAACCTAAACAACAATATAAATACATTTGAAATACCTAATATTTTGAAACAAGGTTCATGAAAATGTTCTTCATTTGTGATCTCATTGAAAGTGCTTGCTACAAAAATCATGGGTAAAAGTAAGGAATTTCTCTGTCATTCTCCGTGCAAGTAATCACGTCACATGGGGGTGCGCCGCCGGTGTTAGTCGTCTTATTCTTTAGGAGCATGTATGTAGCTTGCTGGTTTGACGGACTCTCTGACTTTTATATTTTGCCAGCCAAGAAACTGCATGCATTTTCTTGCCAGTAGCAGACAGTGGAGGAAACCGAACCGAAGTCAGCAGCAGCATCATCGGGCATAAAAAAAACTCTGCCGAGCGGATGGAGTTTGAACCGAAAAGTCGGTGCACATGCAGCCGATAGTTGAAGTTGTTGCGCGTGCGAAAACCATATCTTCCTCGCTCGTTGTTTGTTGTACAGTTAGCAAAAACAGACGAGACGAGCCACCAGACAGCTTTGTTCCCAACTCACTGGATAAAAAAGAGTTCCAAGAAATGGAAAGTCAACCAAACAATTTTTCATATCTGGTCTTTCATCTTGCGCACCCCTCACTCGCCACAAAAGTCTACCCTCCCCCAGTGTGATTTATTCCGCTCCTACTGCTGCACTAAATAACTACGGTTTCATTCGATTGCCTCCTTATCTTTCGAATTTTATATTTTATACTAATTTAATGTATACAAGTTTGTGTAAAAAGACTTGAAAATTATGTAACTTTCACCAAGTGTTAAAGTGCATCGACGTCTTTCAGAAACATTATGCTCAATGTACGTGTGACATGCCGACTATATGGCAGTTGTGAAGGTGGAGCGTCCTTTGTTGGAAATTCAAAACGTTGTTGAGAGGGGTATGAAATACACAGGTTATTGTTGCAAGTATTACTAGAAAATAGTATGAATTTGTAGAATTCTTCCGTGTTAGGCTAAATTTTGAAATCAAGAAATGTAGGAATACCATTGATTTAATCACTAATAAAAAAGGATAAGAATTCTGGTGATTTTTGGAAACAAGTCTCATCTCATCTCACGTATAATATGTGCACATTCCTGTGTTTTTATGAAATGTGGGAATAAAAGTGGCCAAGTGGGTAATAGGCCGAATGGCTATGATTTAGTTTGGAATATTCAAATGAGTATAAAAGAGAGGATAGATGGATGGTGCTGCTGCTGTTGGTCTGGTTGTTGTGCTATGAATCGAATTGGATCGTGCCCAGTATAATAACTTGACTTGGTTGGTTCACAGTAGTCACTCCTCCGTCGTCGGGAACGTGTAAATGCCGAAAGTGATAAGTTTTTGCATGTGCAGCTTGCAACCACAAGTATTGAAGTCGCCAGTAAAAGTGGTAATAATAATCTTATTTGATGTGAGCTTGGCGAACACTCCACTTTCCCAGTTAAATCTCAAGCCAAAAGCTGTTTTTCCTCATTCCACTCTACGTTTAATGCATGCAGAACACATTTTAAAAACATTACGACGACTAACAGGCGATGAAGTAACAGGGAGGAGGGATGCATACCCGCAGATCCAACAAATCAGAACAGATGACGGAATATATAATGATTGCAATGTATCATCTGTCAAGTCTATTAATATGAACGGCTTCTTGTTTCAAAATGCAAAAAATGCAAGAATTTTCTCACTCCCATAAAATATGTACAATGCTGTGGATCATATGAATGAATCCCGTCGTGGTGGTGTAGCTGTTGCATTCTCATTCATTTCATTTTCATCCTTTATTAGCTGGAAAAGAGTATAGCAAAAACATAATTAGCAATAAAAATGGATTAAACTCGTGTAAAGTCTTACTACTCGAATTTGAATGATCGTTATGACAATTAATTTCATCGTATTTTCTATTGACTCTAGGTAATAGCTTGTGATGGTCATCAGTTAGCCCGTCGTCGCTGGTGAAAAGGATGTTTCTGGAAGGAAGACATCGACGAAAAATTGCCGTCAACAGGACGTGAAACTGGCGTCATCACCAGGGCAGTGTGATCCTAAAGGGTCATCAGAGGTACAACAGGCGTGTCGACTCCAAAAGGGTGATTCCACTCTGATTTCCTCATCCACCTATTCTGATGCGTCCACTGCGACTAACTTTACTGCCGACTACGCTCTTTCAGTTCAAATCGTAAGTCATTCAACTTGCATGGAAAAAAATACACACATATCTGACGCAAACTAAAGGGAAGAATAATTATTTGTGTTTTTTTAAATCTGCAGGCAGACCAAGCTGAGAGAGCAGAAGACATTGGTTGCATGGCAAGGGAAAATAAGTGGCCTCATGGTTCCCCTCAGGCTAGATCAATTGACGAACGAGTGTTGGGAGCAGCTCGGGATAAAATTGTACGGAACAATTCAGTGGCGAACGATATACGTCTTGGTCTACCTGTTAGTATACCTATTGGGCTGGAGGAGGAAGAACGCACTAGAAGAAGGACGAGTCCAATACTCCAATTTCCATCAGGATATGATAGCGTAATAGTTTTTTTTAAATTTCGCAATAGATTAATTGTTTCTGAAAACTAATTAATTCACTAATTCTCCTACAGAGATCGGAGATTCAAAGACCGTATATCAAACCACCTCCCAACAAGACCGTTTGTTGTATACCTACTGATCCAGGGGACGGAACCAACAGAGGCTCACCTTCATGTTCGTGTGGACCAACTATTAGCCATAAAAATAGTTTCACTGGCAATAATAGCGGATGGGGGTTAAATTGGGGCCGGAGTGGTAATAGCCCGCCATCACATCGCCATCAACATCCGCCGCATCATCATCGTCATCATCCATCCACCTGCAACCCATCGTCGTCGTCGTCGTCGGTGTTAAAACCCCAAAAGAACGTATCGTCAGCAGGTGTTATTGGCACTTTTTTAGCCGGTGTTATGACGTCTGCTTCAGGTGGCGGTGGTTTCCAAGATAACTTTAAAAGTATTACCGGAGTGTCGTCGTCGTCGTCGTCTGATCCAAAGTTACGTTTTCTAAGTGAGAGAAAGCCTGTTAATGATAGAACTAGTCCAACTCCTAATGTAAATAATTCCTCCTCTTCGACGTCCATGTGCAGTAGAACTCATAAACATGGCGACTCTGTGTTAATTGGTCATCATTCACATCAACAGACTTTTAATTATGACGATGGATGCTCCCAGCCTCCTAAAACCCATCATCAACAACAGCATCACTCCGAGTTTACAAGTAGTCGAGATTCAGGATCTTCCTCCCCCAATAACCCCTTTTTCGAATCCTTTGCATCCCCAACTGATATGAATAATGCAATATTAGGGAATTCCGACAGAAGGCAAAAGTATGACAGAAAGAAAGACAGGAATGGAAACAGAGCCACTGAAACGCAACAACCTTCCATTACAGATGCTGATTATCAGAAGAATGAGGAACCAAAGCCTCATACATCCAATTACAATTGTTGGGGAGAATTATTGGATTTCGACAACGTCTCCGCCGTAGCCCCCGCTGCTGCATCCAAATCCTCCTCCTCAATTATAATGACTGATCCACATCTAGTGTGTCGTTCGATGGGAGTCCAACCCTCTGCATTGAGTGAAAGTATACAAGAAGAGATTGGTGAACTTTCCACAGAGCCTTCTTCTTCTGATCATCAAGTAGCTAATAAGTATTGCACCGTAGCAAGAGTGATGTCCTCGGAAGAAGAAATTAATGATCCGACAACGGAAGACAATGGACAAGAAGATGCCAGGAATAGAAGAAAAGGAGAAAGAGGGGGTGTCACCTGATTGCTTTAAGTTAATGAGAAAAACAGTGTTTCCTGGACTAGTTATTAGACCTGATACATGGATTGTGATAGATTGCCTACTTCGTACATATATGATTAGTGATGATGAGAATACTTTTTGATTGGATTGACGGAAATCCATTTAGTGATTCTAGCTGCTGATATATGGTTTCTCTTGTTTACGATACGACAGAGAGAGTGAAAGTGGAGTGAAATGTAGATATTTAATGTGACTTGTGTCTCGTTTCACTGCCCCACAATCAGACTGATGTATTCCTTTTGCTTTCTCCCAGCCCCCCTCATCATCATCTTGAAAGACAGAGAGAGAGAGAGGGTTGCCTAAATCCTATGTAGCTGCCAAATCAAAATTATAATATATAATAGTTTAATTTTGTATTATCTGCTGAATTCTGTATTACTTCCTAAATTGTTACTATCACTAATAAGGTTGAGATTAACGTTTGTTCCATTTTACAACAAGCGACAAGTGAGGAAGTATGCACGTCATTTATATTCACTCACTACTGACTAATTATTATGGAAAAGATTGGTGCTACTAGAGAGATAATGGAGATCATTTTAAATTTCATTTCGGTCTATTTCTTTTTACTGACTAAAGCGGTTGAATTTTTCCGGGGTAGTGAATTGCGTTGAGGAATTTGGTTGATTGATATTTATTTTGTTGTTTTTTTGGGGGGGTTTGGGGGTGGGGGGATTTTTTCTAGATTATGTTATTTGAAAAAGAAGACAAGGAAAAGATTTTAAAGAGAGAGGATATGAACGTCAATATTCCAGGCCTGTAATTTCAATATATATTTCGTTAGACCACAATCAATAAATGTTTTTATGTGACGACATCATAATTAAAATCTATTTACTAATTAATAGGACCGAGTGACGACGAGTTTTTAAAATGTTTTCTCTTTTATTTGTGTGCGCGTTGAGTGGAGGTTTGTTTTAATCATGGGTCAGGATGTATTATCTGTATTATTTGTTGAGTGAGATAAAATCACCAAAAAAAGAGACTATAATACAATAATGTTAAAAAGAACAACTAATTGTAGATTTGTATTTATTTGTTAAGCGGCGGAGGAAGGAAACCCAAGATCAACTTTTTAGACTATCAATATTTCTATTTAGACCCATCTATTCACTCACATTATGACGCGAAAGATGGGAGCGGAACTCTTTTTGGTGCATATAATAATAATAAATAATAATAATAATAAAATCATATTATTCAAATTTAGCGAGCAACAAGATACACAACACTATTCTAATTATGCGTAGAAGAGGAGAGAGATATAAGCCAATTATATATAACGTTATTAACATTTATTATTATTATTATGTATTTTACGGAACATGTATCGACGGTTTTTGTAAATGATTGGTGGCTTTAATTCAGAAGGAAAAGTGATAGAAGAACAACACAAGCTAAAAGTCTAAAAGAGGCGTTTTTTAATCGAAGGGTTCCCCCATATTTGATGTATGTGATATGCTGCCGAACCGAGATGTGTTCATAGCTGCAGTGCGAAAGATGCTGAAATAAAATTTCAAAACACTTATTACTCTTAATTACATGTGATTATCGCTAAAGCGTTATTTCCATAATCAACAATCGCCCATATGTATGTATGCTTACGACCGTGGCGTCATCATCCCCATATTTTCTGCAATGCAACATTGATCAAACAACTTGTACTGCATCTAATAAATACTAAATCCTTACTAAATATATTCATTGAGATTGACAAACGATGAATTCAACTCTTAAAATACAAGAGAAGTCAACTAAACAGTCAACAATTGCAAGCAACAAGGGGAAATGGAAACCAGTCACTCCTGGTAATAATCCTCCGATTTCAGACCCTTATTTGACACCTGAGGATGCAATTTGGTAAGACAAATTGTGACTGGGATTTTCTATGTACATAAAATATGGCATGGGTATGTATTTGTAATTTTTCGCTACAGGAAAAATGTTATAATTCATGAAAAGTTGCTGGACTCGTGTTGGAATCAGACGTGGGCTTCCTACTATGCGTCACCCAATGTAATTTGCATAAGTGTATAAATATGTGACGGAATTTTCTCAATTTAATTAATATTCACTTCCTTTCAATCAAAAAGGTTCATGACTCGGAAAATACAAAACAAAATGCAGAAAAATGTGCAAATACCCTGTATTTTAAATCCTCTAGTAAATGAATTAATTTACTAAAAGTTGTTCAAAAGTTATGCTAGTGTAATTTTTACATAAAAAATAAACCCTTGCAGGTGTGATCGGAACGTTTCATCCTCAAGTACTCGAAAAGCAGAAAACTTTTGTGACACGCCCAGTTGTTTCAAAAGTACGATTTGTTTCCGAACAATACGGTCACTACCGCCAATTGAAACATTCGAAAACCAAAGCTGTGGAAAATGACAAATCTAAAGTCCAAGATTACCTCCCTTCATACAAAAATAGACATACCGTTAATCCTTTACTTTGCTAATTTGTGTACATTATGCATTTCATGAATAATTTTACCAATTAGTCTATAAAAATGTAACATTGATTTATTTTACAGAATAAAAAACTACCATTATTAGTAAAATAAAAATAACAGTTTCATGCCCCAAACCTCTTTTTTGCAAAGGCTGGTGGAAGATGTTCCAATATACTGTGAGGATCTACTTCAACCACGACAAAATCAGTCCCAAACCCACCAACATAAGCAAGATACTTGTATTTCGATGGACACGTTTTAATTTGAAATCGGAGATTATGCTCATCACTCACGAGTTTTTTTCGCCGTTTGGGTTCAATAATATCACCAGTAATTTCTAATAAAAATAAGCTATCATTTTGAAAAATTACAGCAGTTTGTCCATCAGATGACCAACAAGCACCTTGAAATGGTTGTAAATCATCAACTTTTTTCTTGACAACTTCTTGACATACAATTTTCCCATCATTATAATTACATATTAGTACACTATTATCAACATAAGTGACAAGAACCAATGGTTTTAGAGGATGAAGTGTAATGGAGGAAGGGAGAGCGGAATGTGTTGGTAAAGAACAACATTTAGAAATGGTGAAATCTTGGTTGAAAGAGTACACAATGATACGATTATCCAAAGTGATACACAGATTGGAAGCAGTGGTAGCAACTAAACCAACACCCAAATACGATGATTCTGTATCTTGCAGTTCTTGTACGTCTCCGAAGCACACCGAATTTGTTGTTTGATTAATTTTAGCTATCGTAATAAATCTACCACTGGAACTGAGAAGCATTAAAGTATCATCTTTGATAAATTTTAAATGAACCAATTGATTCTCAGAACTAAATTCAATTAAATTTTCGAATTGCAACTTTTCCAAACTAGGTTTCAAAACTTCATCATTGTCTAAAGTGAAGGATATTTGAAAAACTTTCACTGCACCAGATACAGAGTACGCAAAAAATGATCCATTTTGACTCATTGCTGCAGAAAACATATTTTCAGCTCCTTTAGATTCCACTTCCAGGACTTTTGTTAACCTATAATGTAAAGGAACAAATTATCACAATCAATCGAGTCACAATTTTACACTGTCACTGTTAATAATCATAATGCATTTTTTGTTTTACTGTGAATTTCCCATAGGTAGTTTCCAAATCGTTAGATTTTTAGCATATTTGATTAAAAGCATGGCTGCATTATCCGATCCACTGAATTGCGTGTATTTAGGAATATTTGGATATTTAACAATAATTTTAGGAGGGAAAGAACTCATTGCAAGATCTGTATCAATACCTATTTAAATGTCAAACAAAACTGGGTTAATTAAGGTCTGCGTTGTTAAGTTTTACCTTATAATAAAATAAAATTTATGTAAAAAGTCCATACCACCAGAAAACAGTCTATTGTCGTATGTTTCCAAAGTCATAACATCATTAACATGTATGTTACGTGGGTGAGATTTAATCCACTTGTCGCTGCCACTAATTTTAGCAATATTCAGAACAATAGGATCCACGCCAGCAGCGTATATGCTTGATTTGTCGGAAGAGAGGCGTAGTGTAAGTACGTCGGCTTTATGTGTTTGCATTTTGTATTTTAAAACTCCGATCCTTCCATCCCAGAAACTAACAATCCCTCTGAAATAATTTCAATATCGAAATAAAATCAAATTAAACATGATGATGAGCACAGATCATCCCGAACCTTGAATCTCCGGTGACAATGGTGTGATCATCTAAAACTAAGATGGCCCAAACGATGGTTTCCTTATTTTTCGTCCTGCCGGTCATTAACTTTTGAACAGCGTGTCCTTTATTAACATCCCACAAACGAACCGAGTCTACTGAGCCCGTCCCGATGTAACGACCACACGGTGACCATTGCAGACATAAAACCCTTCCTAAATTAAAGAAACGATATATAACATTCTATAACAAGGTCAGTATAGAGAATAGTACACGTTTACCATCCTGACGATCCAAAACTCTCAGATATGTTAGCATTTTTTCTTCAATATTAAATAAATTAATAAACCCATCTTCAGTGCCAGCCTAGGAAAAGTCATTGTTCAAATTTCAGTTCAACTTAAAAAAAGCATAATTATGACAAGTAACTCACAGCAATGACGGTTTGTGTAGGATTAACACCAAGGCACCAGACAGAACCTGATGTCGCTGCAGATTTATGCTATTTAAATAGATAAAAATAAACAATTTACTTACGATGGTACCTTAAAGAGAATTTAAAATCGCAACTACCAGTAATTTTCCCGTCCTGACATCATGCTCCACCACAAATCCGTGAAGGCCACAGCTAAAGAGCCGATTGTTATCTGCCCACACCACACTTTCCACAGACGGTTTTCCATCAATTGTTTCCAATTCGAAAATAACCCTCTCCAAAAGCGGCTGATGGTTTACATCCCAAATTTCAATCGCTCCAATGCGTCCACCCCTACAAAAAAAAACAAAAACATTATGGATTAATTCATCAAGGCAACCAAATTGCGAATATAAATCTAGTAGATTTAATCTACACTCACCTGAAAAGGGCCAACTTTTTACTTGTGTGGTTCAAGCTCATGCAACTAATCGGACTCGGTTCCACATCCAACACTTTCGCAAAGTGGAATTTCACAGAGTTTGACATTTTTTCTCAACAATTAAAAATTAAGGATAAATTACTCCACTTTTACAATTGTTATATTTTAGGATCAACTTTATGAGAAGGGCATGTTTCCGATTGTATTATTGATGTGGTTGATGAGCACATGGAAGAGGGTCGCGTTTGGTTGGCGCGATGGGATTGCGTGGTGAGACGGAAGTTGGGCAGATGGGAGTCGCAACGAGTCCTGCTGATTTTGCTGAATGAACAATGCCGTAATTTCTTCCTACGATGAGGTAATTGCGAATACCGTTTTCGCAATTTGTGTGATGACTCCTGTTGTGGCCAAGTAAGTGCATTCACCCCACCCAGACGAAAGTCACACAGAGTTGGCAATCGCAATAATGGTGAGCCTACGGGGCAAATCATGTTAGAATGAGGTGGTGAATTGCACGCTGTATTATTTGTTTGGGCACATTTTTCCTCTGTGATGATATTAAAAATTGCACACCAACAACATCAACAAGGATATTTGTGTATACCAAATGAAGTCGCTACTCCTTGTTGGTTAGAGATTTCATGCCATTATGACATTGAGACTTCAAAAATTGACTATTTTGTACAAAATAATCAATATCACACTCTGCGTTATAGTCTATATTATACTAAATTTAGTATATGAATAATTGCATAAATTTTCTTCCAACCATGCAGTCGCACATATCGTCAGTTCATCACGTAACTAGGGATAACTTGCATGAGCTATAAGCTGGAGGTTACCTGTCCACATATACAGAATATGTGTGTGTGTGCATATTATGGAAAGTGCTGGCTGAGCAAACCTACATACGTTCATGACAGGAGAGTTGGTTTGTCCTTCTTCTTCTGCTCCAGCTCCGGTGTGGTTGGTGAAAGTTGGGAGCCCACGCGGAGAGAGGATCGGTGTTTGAGAGAAAATTTTCTCATCCGCACACAACGAGACATGGATGGAGAGACTGGTTGGTTCGCTTTCACTTTGGTGGCTCAGATCGATACTCGCTCTCATCAGAAGAGAGAGAGAGCCCTCCGCTACACTTTCTCCGCCTTTGGTGCTGGAGAACCCTTTGAACAAAGTGCTGCTGCTGCTGCTGGTGGTCGAGAAAGTGGATGGATGGATGGAAGCAACAAAGGGAATCGATTCCCTCAATGAGTTGCTTCTTCTTTCATAATACCACCAACCCCTCCCCCCCAAAACCAGCCAGACAGACCCTTTTTACAAGATGGAAATCTAAACGAACATGAAATCAGAATGTTCCAGCAAGTACAAATGTGGAAATCGGTGGAATTACATATTCCAAAGTCAGAGCACATTTCTAAGTTTTACGGCTTAACGTGGTGTCCATGAGATTTTATCTCAACACAGTAATATGAACGATAGAAATGGGATGAAATGAAACCATGATGAGACTGAGCTTCTGCTGCTGTTGGTGAAGAAAAATCTATTTTTGAGGAAATAAAGATCCATATTGCCATGATTTCCTGAAGGACTTTGGTCGTCTCTATTTGTCGACGCATTATGTGACGGTGATTCAAAAGGAATCCAGGTAACCCGGACGACGTGTGGGCAAAGTACAAATTATACAAAATGTCTCATATTACTCAAGTCTCAACTCACCTCCATTTTATCGATCCCTTCAATGAAAGGTCTCTGCATTACATGGAAATCACGAAATTATATGTTCGCAATTCTACATTTGCATTGCAGGGACACATTTGAAAGATGATCTTTCAATAATTTGCTAACAAATATTTTTTTTCAGCAGACTGACGCATGTTGAAAGTAGACGATGCTTGTTGAATGTGGCGTATGTATGGGTTCGTCGCTATACCTTGAACGAACTCAACCTCTCTCTCTCGCACACACAAAGCCAAAAAACATAAGCAAAGATATAAGATATCGAATCGATGCATTCCTTTCACTGAAGGGGAATGCACATGGATCACGAACCACGGCGTTTGCATAACTTTTATACTGAATCATTAAATTAACTGACATGTCCAAAAGATCCACAACCTCGTATAGCGTCCTATTTTAACTCGCCTAATTGTTAGGAATCTGTGTGCAAGTTCCAATTTCTCATTCAGGAACGAAGCTCAACGAGTTCTCATGCATAATCGCCGTTCGTCAAGTGGAGATGCGAGAAAGCAGAAAAAGGTGTCGCCCACGGACTGAATGAAATCAATCCTCCGACTTGCATACGACGACTCTGACTTTCTCCACGCACGGATCAGAGCCCCTCGCCCAAGTTGGCAAGGGACGTATGGCGTACTTGGTCACCCAGAGGTACTCGAGGGATCTTTTTTTGTGTGACCACATCTCGTGGTTGCTGAAGCGTCCCTCTGCGTAGACTGGGGGCCCAAGTGTTAAATATGCCACCCACTACCCTCGACTTCCCCTCTCTCTCTCTCCATGCAATTTTTTATCATCCATCCATCCACTCCACACCACGAAGCACCACCACCACTACTACCACCACCGTATACTTCTTTTACTAGTGATCATGACATCAGTTGAGCTCTGCAACCCTTGTCGCACGCTCCTTTCTCTGTGAGAAGAAGACTATTCTAATCTCTCTCCCTCCGTCTGCCTGCCTGGTGTCGTCGTCGTCGTCGACAACAAGAAGGAATCGTCATCAACGTCCATCATCATCATCATCAACAACACACAGGAGTGATTTGCATACTGGGAGAAGAAGAAGGAGGAAGGAAAAGGAGTCATCCGGACTGACTGATTTTGTTTTGGGCCATCCTAGTTCCTTGCATATGAATAACCTTCAGTCGACCAGCAACTACTCGATACTAAACTGCTCTCAAATATCAGATCGACTAAAGACTTAGTTGCACGCTATTTGCCATCACGAGCGACGAGGAGCGGACATATCAACAAAAGACTTTGGTCGTTGGTGGATTGTTGACAATATTCTCATCGGTGAAAAATTACGTTACAAAGTGAGGTCATCATTGGCTGGTGGTTCAGTCCGTTCAGGAACACGAGTGGTCAAAACTCAAAGGACAAAATTTGGAGAGAAAATGAGTTGTCATGACGACACCTCTTTCCAGCAATTGTTGTAAGTTGTATTTTTATTACTGATTTTTTACCACTATTTATGTAACCAAGAGTCGTCTGCCCTTTGTCAAACTAAAGGCGTCTGTCTGGCTAAAAAAGAGATTGAAATCGTAATGTTGGGAATAATTTTGCAGCGTTGCCATGGGTCGCACATAGTTCAACTACAGAAAGACAAAAAATGAGGATAAAACTAAAACTTCCTACCGACCATCTTCGCCAATCTGTTAAATCCTGACTCTGGAGCAACAAGGATGCCTAAAGTCGGCGACAGAGAAATGGAGACGGAGACGACAGATATTTCTAGCGTCGTGAACTCTATCGTTTCGAAGGTGGAGGAGAACCTGTCATCATCAACAACAACAAGTGCCAATAAAAATAATAACAATAGTAATAGCAGTAATAATAATAATAACGTGGGTGACCAATCCGCGACAACTGCCGCAGTGCGGAGTTGTGGTTTAAGGTCAGCAAGTGCTTTGGGTGATGTCGTGAATGGTGAGGTTGCTGGAGGCGACATTCATCAGCAGCACGCAAACTCTTTTATCGTCCCCAAATTATTTGGTGCTAGTGACGGCCGCCATGACTTGGGAAGAGGGGGACAAGTACAAAACAGCAACCCTGCACTTAATCTTATCAGTACACTGCCACCCGTGAACTTATCCAATGTATTCAGCGACTCTTGTGAGATTGACATGTCAGATGGAGGACAAAAGTCGAAACGCGTTTCCAATAATGGTAAGATAACCTCAAAACTAATATTATTAGTATTGAAACCGCGGCACCCCTCACAACATTTTTAGTACTCCACCCAAGGAGAGGGAAAATTTGTAATAAGAACGTGTCATTTTCTTGTTCCAAAGCACAAAACGGTGCGGCTCCTTCAGCAGATACCACTACGCCAGCTTCACCACGACCAGTTTCTCCAAGAATCTCAATCTCGCATATTGGAATTAACCTTAACATACTTAAACGTCCAGACAGCCCGAGCCCTGGTTCACCATATTCTCCTAACAGCAGCAGTGTCATCAGTAATCCATCACCACCGTGTCCAGCCGAAATTATTCTTGGGGATGACAAAGAGCTAATCATCAACAGCAGCAGCAACGGGAGTAATAATGCAGCTATTGGGAAACCAATTTTTATTTTAGGTGCCACCGACGACGAAGATACTCGAGACGTTTCTGTACTCTTTCGAATTCCTCCATGCCAAAAGTCTGTCAAAGAACCACACTTTGAAGAAGATTCTTTATTGAAACAACCACAAAACGATGAGGATAAGGAGCCTCAGTCATTGTTCGCCCATGAGAATAATAATAACAATGTTTGTAGTAACACGTGTGTGGTCGAGATGCAAGAAACGTCAGCAGCGTCATCATCCACCAGCATTGACGAACAACCAGACTTGTGTCCACCACGTTTTCCTACCAAGGATGCTAAACCATGTCGAAGTTTGCTTAAGAGACGAGCAGATAGTTATGGGGATCATTTTAATACTAGCAGCCCTCCCAAGAAGCGAAGGTCCATCACATTCGACGGAGTGACAGTATTCTATTTTCCAAGAACGCAAGGGTTTAGTTGTGTTCCATCTCAGGTATTATTACTCAATTACAGATACTTCATACTCACAACAACATTTATTAGAATTAGATCAAAAGCATAGTATTTCTAACATTGGATATTATTTACATTTTTATATCCATTTTTACAGGGTGGCTCAACGTTGGGAATGGCGTCTCAACATGTATTTGCCAAAAAGTTTTCGCTTCAAGAGTACGCAGAAGAACAGCGTCGTGTGCACAAACAAATGTTGATACGAATGAAAAAGCAGCAGCAAGAACAACAAAGTCCTCATCCTTCGCCTGTTGAACGAGAGGAGGAAGTCGCCAATGGCAGTTCAAATGGTGGATCACAATCAAGTGATGACGATGAGGAGGACAGCGATGACCCAGATGTTGAAACAGATTCAGAATTGGAAGCTGAGTTGGATGGATATTACTTTCTTCAGGTAATCATTTTGAATATTTTTAATTCAAATTAAAACGAAATTAAAATGTCGAGAAACCCTCAGTGTTTCGTTTTCCGTTGTCGTGAAAATTAATAATTCATTAATTCTAAATTAATTTAAAAATTAATTCTTCAGCCCGTACCTACCCGGCAAAGACGTCTGATGCTTCGAGAGGCTGGAGTAAAGAAAATTGACTCTGCAGAAAAAGACGAATGCCGAGATATTCGGTCATCACGAGGTCAGAAAATGTTTAAGAGACGCACAATTTTTTTGTATTTGAATAATTTCGACGTATTTTAATTATGAATTATTTTTATTTGAATATCAAAAGTTTGTCTTTATTTCGACATTTCATTCAAAGTGGAACATAAATTCAAGACTCAATTATGCATTGCCCGAAAATAATTTAAAAAAATAATTAATTTGCAGAATTTTGTGGCTGCTCATGCAAGTTGTATTGTGATCCAGACACTTGTTCCTGTGCTCAAGCCGATATTGCCTGCCAGGTATGCACTTTCATTGCAGAGAGCTAATACATAGTTATCATTATTATCAAAATGCCAATGAGATACAAGTTTTTACATTATCTATTGAAATGTGTTATTTTCAGGTTGATCGCGCAAACTTTCCATGTCAAGGTATAAATATATTATATGTCAAGATTGATCAAACTAATTACTTAATTAAAACAAAATTAATCTGTGCAAAATTCATCTTTCAAGGTTGTACTCGAGATGGTTGCGGAAATGCGAATGGACGAGTTGAATTTAATCCAGGTATATGTAAATGATTAATGATTACATAATTTTAATCCAGTGCGAGTTCAAACTCACTTCTAATATTATGGTTATAATGGAGTGCATTCTATTATAACTATAAATACAATAATGATGTCAATTAATAATTTTTCCTATTATTTAATCCAGTGCGAGTTCGAACTCACTTCATTCATACCCTGATGCGTTTGCAATTGGAAAAGAAGCACGCAAGCAACCAGGTATTGCCTTAATTTCACTTGATCAGCCTGTTTTTCTATTTTGTTTTTTGATACCACGGCAAGATAGATTTAAGTCATCACCAAATCGAGATTTATATGCGTTCACTTGTATGATCTATTTTTATTTGTTAAGTCAATCTCACATATTACGAGACTGTTACTGATTGTATTATTACGAACCCGGTACATTTTTATCTATTATGAGCCGTTGTCTCTATATATAAATAAACTACCACAAGTATAATGTCTAAGAGGAATGAATACAATACGGATGTCAAATTTGTTTAAAACGTATGTTGAGAGACAATAAAGTAGTTAATATACAAAATATCCAATCGAAAGAATACGATGATGTACGATGTACATATTATCTCGCGTGTTACTCATAACGTCATCATTATTACCGATTGAAAACGTTATACAAAAACTTTATGCTTTTAAATATTTTTATATTCAATTAATCAATTAATTAAACAACAACTAAAGAATCAATTAAATAGTCATTCATTATTGTCATAGCCCATACAAGTTTATCATTCATACAGGTTTTGCATATTCTTGCATATGTATTAATATACTGTACTGTACGACTACGGAGCACAACTTCCTATAAATATGAATATCATTATATATAAGCTAGTAAGTCTACTCACTTCTACGCATGCATACTTGTTACAATATTGTTTAAGCAGCAGAAAAGGTCATATCACATCACAGCCATACAATAATCAAGTTTGTTTCTTGATGTCAAGTATTCCACAAAGTTTTGAATATATTTTTTGCTGCTTCTGTACGCTTTGATGTCTCTAAAAATTGTTTTGCTTAAATGCCTACAGGCTAATTGCGGCTTGGATGGATCCCTATTTTCAACACCATCATCCCTCCAATCAATAGCTCGTCATCATAGCGACATGTCAAATAATATGGGCTCGTCTACATCAGGTCATGACTTGAGTTACGGAGGGGTACAACAGCACTGGGACAACAACGGGGGGACTACGTCAATGTCTTATTTCAAACGAGAAGACACCAGCCTCTCTACCAATACCAATAACGGGAGTCTGAACTATTCCGGTACCACCAATTTGGTGCGAGATGTGTCATTTTCTACAGGCATGGAACTTGAATCCTGTGTCAGCTTGGGTAGCTACACCAACTTTCACTACAATACTCGCCCCCAACATTTGCAACAACAAGCCAGTACAGATACGGTTACCAATTTTGCTACTCAACACCATCCCCAACATCATCTCCAAAGTCACCATTCTCCTTTGCAGTTTTCTCCAAATGACCGGCCTCCTAGAACAGAAGACTCGTTTGATTTGTTTTCCACATTTCGGGAAGATTCCTATTCAGAAAACAGCGACGAATTTTCTAATGAAAGTGGCGAGCAACAGCAAGGGACATTCCCAATCGTCCCTTGCTCGACCAATAATGGATTCAACAATGGACATAACAATTCAATGAATAATAATCACTCTGTAGATGGGTTACAAAATATGGATCAGCAACAGCACCGGTACAATGGCGACAGTTTTTTTAGACCATTGAACCATGAAGCTCCTCCTGTTCATTCAATATCCGATACGGTCTCATACCACCATCACGGAAATATGCTTCCCGACCATGGTGCTCCTTCTCCCGTCATGATGACATCTCATCATCATCATCAGCAGCAGCAGGAGCATGCCCAACAACACAGGTTATATAATATTATGAGCGGCTCAGATTTATTGCAAATTATGTCCTCCGGTGATCAGCAACGCCACCCATCAATTGCCCATTATAATATGCCAAACGTCCATTACAATCCTCCCACCGCTTTCACTGTGTCACACATGACGCACGGTGTTTATTCTGAAAATTCGACTGTTGAGAATAATTCCCAGCTATCATTTATGCAACCATCGTCATACACGGAAATCAATCAATGCGAAGAAACATACTCCAAAGATGGACTTTGTAACGAACAGTCCCAAAGTGCATCTTCTCAGTGTCAGAAGAATGGGTTTCAGCCCCTTCAACTGGAGGAGCAATATGAAAGCACGACGGCGGGTGAGAATAACGTTGTCGACGAAAACAAGGAGGAACTACTTACTACTGACAATTTTGGGGAAATTATTAAGAAAACAATGGTCGAAACTGTATCCGCGTAGAGAGATAACATACTTTGTTTGCCATCCAAAAAGTTTTTCCAACTAATTATAAAATTGCATAAGACTCCAACAAAATATTCAAAGCATTTCGCGCATGTCCCAAGTAAATTTTAATTGGTTTGCTATACATACATACTATAAAAATGGTAGCAGTGCTAGACTAAATATTCTGCTTGTTTTCCATTATTAACTACATACGTCAGGACGCTAAATTTATTTTATTTTTCACTTATGTAATCCTCAGAAATCTTCAATTTTAAAAGAGCGAAATACATCAAAGTTATAGGTAATTAATTATAATGTAAATCACAAAAACTCAGTACCATTGGAACAACCATGGGTGTTTAAGTACTACGAATCGTAATTACTACGTACAACGTAAGAATTTGATGTGTTTAGCGTTCTACCAAAGTTCTGAACTTAAGGTCTAATATTTGTAACCTTTAATTCTTTAAGTGCAGCTTTAAAATATGCACACTTTTAATTATAATCAAGAGATAGGAGGATAGGAGATATTTATAAAAATATGTACTGGTTTCACAATCAGTAATACTTATTAAGAAGTATAGATCACCATTGTCACGGATTCATGGTTGATTAACTCATTCAAACTAGGATTATTTACTTAATATATTGAAAACTCGAATGAATTTGTAACAATCATTATAAAGTTCATATTTACTTATTTATTGCCACCACTCTTGTTTTACATTCGATACGTCGTTTATTTATTTTACAATATTCGCTTGAAATAAATACCGACCTATATACACATAAATAATAGTGCTATTTCCTGTTAAAATTAGTACCACCGTCTAACTCGTAAGTATGTATGATTAGTGAAAATGTCATGTGCAGAGACTCAAAAGTGTGAACACATTTGTTAAACTTTTTAATGTTAAAAAAAATTGCAAATTGAATGTCTTCAGCGGACATATAATAAAAGTTCATGCAATAACTGGAACAGAATTATTTAATGCACGTATAATAATTTGTTTTCATGGAGCGAAAGTAGCAAATTCTAATGTCAAGTGTAGTGTAACGACAAAATTTCATATCCGGTGGAAATTGTTTTACCTTCATGCAAATACGTATTTAATATGTCATAATCACTCTTATTGGGCAATGGAGCAGTGAGGGTGGTGGACAAGAAGATTTGCACAAAATGACTACAAAGCAACGAAAGCAACATATTCATGCAGAAAACTGGTCACCCAAAATTCATAAAAAAAGTGAATGGTATAGCGGAGAGTGCAATATGTAGTATGTTTATAATTCATATTTCGTAATTGCAAACTGCATTATTGCACAAAATACATATATGTATCTTGCTTTGGCTTATATTTGTGGTACTTTATTGGTAATGAGTGCTTGCTTACCTAGTGAGCGTCTCATCAAATGGTCTCGCAAAATTTGTACATATATCTTTGCGAAATAATATCTTATTTCATCCCCTAGTAAAAGAATGATGCTAGTAATGCACATTTTGGGGGCGAACTTTTGTGTCCAATGTCATACGGTGTGAGATAAACTGCATATTTTACATAGACGTTGCTTCACATCACAAATACACTCAAGATTGTGAAGTTCAATTTCAATTCTCTAATCTTGTACTTGAAAACAATAATCTATAATCTATATAGTTTCCTAATTTATAGCAACATTGACCAGTTCTAAAAGATGGACCACCATCTGAATTACACGGGTAAAAGTGACTATGAAATAGAATGGACCCCTTTCTCATTGACACATGTTGAATTTCCCAAAGGTATTTATGCATTATACATACATACGTATGTACATCGGTAACTAATAAATCACTCAAATTAATATATTTATATATTTTTTTTTTACTTTAGGCGATTTTTTCGGGAAAGTTCTAGCCATTTCAAGTCTAATGCCAATGGCTCTAATTTGTGGATTTATAACTCTGATTCTATTTCGGAGAGACTTGCATACGGTATGCATGAAATGCGATACATACTAACTAACCAGAGCCACAAGGTCTCAGTACATAATTATAGGGAATGAAATAATGCAGTAATAAAAATCGTTTTATTTTTGTAGATAACATTTTTCATTGGACTTTTGATTAACGAAGGTGAGTTTATTCTTATGTCATGTTTATGCAAAGTGTATATAGAACAGGTTGGTGATGATAAATTGAAAACGGGAAACATATGCATTAGGTCAAGAAAATTATAATTAGTATAATCTAATGCACCATTTCAATTGACAAGCTACTATTTCCGAATGAGCGAATATCCTCAAACTAAATGACTCTTCTGGGTCAAAATACCAACCTTCTTGTAACTTACTCCTACAACTGCAATGGCTAACACATCGTCGCGATGCGATGTGGGGAGAAAATTTATCTCATCACCAGCAGTAGAGATATTTCGACCTGACGTGAAACACACCGATACGCCAACCTTTGGATCCGAAATCCGTCTCTTTTTATCCTCCGTCATCCTCCTCCAAACGTTGACATATAACTGAAATGTTCCTCCTGAACCGTCCTGTTTAACTAAAATTGTTACAATGTTAGTACATACTTTTCATTCATCCATGAGATAAGTATGCATACACTTAAAATATTACCTTTTACGTCACTCTGTCTTTGTCGTCTGAAGACAATTTTCCGGGTTTTCGGGGAAGTGTAAAGTTTTCTGTGGCGTGGGACATGGCCGTGTCGTAAGTGCAGGTTAAGGCTGTTTTCGTAGTGGAATACCCGGTCACATGTCAAACAGTTATAAGTTTTAACTGTTGAATATAGAAGTAATTTATTATTTGATTTCTTTTAATACTTACCATTACCAGTCAAATTTTTACGGATTGTTGGGAAATAATAATCGCAAAAAATATGGGACAAGTCGTGCAAGTTTTCAGACTGCGAATGGTTAATGAGAATGACAAGTTCTCCTTATTTATGCCGTATTTTTGAAGCGTCCCAAGCCAAGCCAAACAGAAGCCATGTGGAATTTATGAGAAAGATAAGAAAGCGTGGTGGTGGTTGTATTTTTAGCTTACATGTATGCAATATGGAATATTTTCAACGTTCTTCATAAAAACAATTCACAGAACGCCTTTCATCTAGATCCCCAAACGGGAGAAATCACCGTAGACAAACCTGAGCTTATCGATCGAGAGATGGATTTGAATAATTATTAATTAATTTCTTTAATTAAAATAAATAAATAATTAAAATTAAAGGATTCAACATGATTCTCAAATATACGATTCGTGAGGCTCGCCCTCTGCAACGTGAAATCAATTACACCGAATTCGGAATGGTATGTATGCAATTTAATCAGAGATCATTGAGATTATATGACTTTTGTATTCCCCGTTTTTCGCAGCCTTCGTCCCACTCACAATTAATGTGGTATTTTGCTGCATATTCGGTCTACTTTGCACTCTTCAGGTTGACCTTACATTTTATCAGTACCAAGTAAGTTTGAAACCATTTTAATTTGAAATTGACTTTACAGACTGCACAGATATCCAGGTAAAGGAATCAGCAGCCACCTGCATAAAGTCGGAATAATATTGGCCGTTGTAGCTACAGCGTTATTTGTGACGTATAGCAGGTACGAAATTCTACATATTTACATACATATACATAACTAATAACTGAGCAATACTCTTACTTCAAATTTACAACAGTAACTTAATTTCTTTTGAATTTGGACAATTTTTGTAGGATTTATTTAATGTACCACACTTGGGCCCAGGTTAGTTGGGGTGCTTTTGTTGGTTGTGTCTTTGCAACTTTTTGGTTCGTTATGACAGAAACTGTATTCACGCCAAAGTTTCAAGAAATATCTTCATGGTATTTAATTTAAATTTCCTTAATGCAGTGTTTGAATAATAATTCTATTGATACTAAATTATTTAGGACTGTTTGTGAATATCTACTCATCAAGGATACCACGTTAATCCCAAACGTTATGTGGTTCGAATATGCAAATGCTAGGCAAGAGACAAAAAACAGGACTAGAAAATTTATAAAATCTCAATGATCTGTGTTACAAATGACTACATTTTGTAGGACGACGATGGTAATAATTTTAACAAAAGTGTGAGCATGTTTAAAATATTGCTTTTATTTATATTGCTGCTTTACTTGTAAAAATAAAAAAAGCTCAAAAGTTTATAAATTAAGCCAAATACTAATGTGTAGTAAATCTACAATACACAAATTATTTACCAAATTCTAAATATTCAATAAAAGCACATGGGACAATTTTCTGCAGAAATTTAATAATTAGCAAGCAAATATCAAATTAACGTGAATTCGATTAGTATCCTCTGAAAGTTTTACAGCATAATGTACCATTATGAAAAACAATATTCTCACATATCATTCACACTCCAACTACGATGCCTATTTTTGGAATTAGATGATGACGAGTTAGAATTTTTGGAATCTTTCAATTCTCGATTATTAATTGCCAATGAGAATTCATCAAGTCTATCTGCAGACATTGATCTACGAATGCGTTTACTAGATCGATTAAGGGACCAGTGCTCACAATTAACCCGTGACATTTCTCTTGAACGACTAGATGATGGACCACCACCAGCTCCAGTAATATCTCGGAGACATACAACACCGTATCCTCTTCTTTTCAAGGAACTTCCTTCAACATATCTGCTTCCACCACGATATCCCATTTGATCCAAAGAAAATTCATGGCTGGTGACACTTGTAGTTGACTGATGATATCGCGATTGAGGTTGAGCGATCCCTTGTCGATAGCGATCAAAATCAAAGTAAACATGATCCCCACCTTGACAGATCCCAGGATAGCGAGATTTCAGCATGTCCAACTTTGCATTTTGTTCCGCATCATGATAATTCAATGGGAAAATGTTGATTACTTTGATAATTGGTTTAATCGTTAACAATTCAATTAAACCGCCAGGAACTCCTAAGATATGTACCAGGGTCCTTTGACTGTTTCCTTGGAGGATTTCTAGACAGGGTCATGTCAGTTCAAAAATTCTCCAAATTTTTTTTTTACAGATTTTAATGTTTGGGAATATGCGCAATTTCTACTGGCAGAGTTTGGTTGTCAAGAAAAATTAAATATTCTATAAACCGTCGTAAAATGACAACGATTTAATTTAATTGCAAATTAAAATAGTTATAAAATAATTGAACTAGGATCGGTATCAAAAACGGCACCTAAAAATTGTTCGCACTCATTTATGACGTTTTATAGAATATTTTATTTTTCTTGACAACCAGATTCTCCCAGCAAAAATAACCCATATTCTCAAACTTTAAAATCTGCAAAAACAATTTTGGAGAATTTTTGAACTGACATGACCCTGTCTAGAAATCCTCCAAGGAAACAGTCAAAGGACCCTGATATGTACACAATTAATTGACCATGCTTTAGTAATGTAATCATTCAATTTTTTACCTTGTCCAATAGCAGATCCATTGTACTGAAGTTTAACAGACTTGAGATTTTGTGAACTTTCCACCAATGTTTGTAACTCATTAGTTAAACATTTAAAACGAATTATTTCTAAATCAGTGAGTGCCGGAAGAATATTATCAATGTTGACAATAGTGGGAGATCCATAGAGTTCCTTTCAAATGAATAAAGACGCGTACAATTAGTTATCACAAATATTTAGATATAGGCCGGCAAAATACCTTGAAACGATACATATATATATAAATGCTTCATTATTTAATTGTTATATGTATTACCAAATTTCTTTGGCAGTCTTCTTTGTTTCGCATCAGGATAAGTCGACGTAAATTATGAGCACATTTGAAAACACTCGCATCAAATGGGATGGCATTTCGAGTATCATCCATCGACAAATTCAGTTCCCTTAGCTCCACATAAACCAGTGTCGACGCACTCTGAATAATTGCTGGCAACAAGATTGTGCTAGAGATTCCAGTGATGTGAGACGGTGGTTGTTCATATGAAGAAATCCAATTTATTCTAAAATCCATCAGTTTGGTTTGGTTTTGAATAATGGTTGTCCAGCAGGAAATGTATTTGGTGGCAAGGTTCAATCTTAATGATTCAAGTTGCAGTTGTTCATCGTGAAGGGAATCTTTCGTCCCTTGTGGAATGTTTGTGGGGAGGAGAGAGATCAGTTCGTGTCCATTTGCTGCAGGTACAAGGGTTACATTTATATGCGAGATTTGTTTTCTATGTTTCGCGAGGAATTCGAAAAAAGTTGTGATAATTGAATCCATATGTTTCCAGTAGCACGTCACATTGAGGAATATCCTTGATAGAGATGGCATAATTTGTGATATCAAACGGATCACATTCGTACTCACTTCTTCACTTGCATCCTGTATATAGTTTTAATTTATATTTTTAAAAAGATTACGTAATTGAATTAATAATATTTAACTTACCTTGCAACAATATCCAAGAACTTCTAATTTTATAAGTTTCTTCAAGTCGAGTACATGATTTTGTGGCAATATGTTCTTCTGAGTCAGTGGATATCTTGTCATGGACAATTCTTCTAAATTTATTGCATTTTGCAAAATGCGGTGCATTGATTTAGGATGAATTGACCCCCAAAAACGGACACGCTTAACTATTTCAGGATATCGGAGGATATCCACGTCTGCGTTTAACTTTGTTATCAAGCAATCCTTGATCTTGAGTTCTCCTAGCCGCTTCAAATCCGTTGTATCGTCGTGAACAATTACAGAGAAATTAAAATGTTCGTCCACTACGTTACGCCAAGAAGAGCAGACGAGACGATGCCGTACTAACTCCTTTTGTGTTACATGTGAAAATATCTTCACCCAAATCTGAATAAGTAAGAAAATTATTGTTAAAATAATTAAAGAATAATCATTATAAACGAGACTTATCGTACTTCATTTGGGACAGTCGTCGACGGATCCGTAGTTAGTGTGGCAAATTGGGATTCCTTCTTATCGCCTCCAAGAACCTCACTCGCAGCCGTGTCAGCAATGCCAACATTTCCTATCTTCTTATCCCCAATCTCCATCTTAGTACAATCAAAAGGCTCGTTATATATACGATACAAGAAGTTATTATTAAAGTTATTATTTTAGAGCCAAAATATTCTGCTAGCAGTTCGGAATCCACACTGTGGGTCTTGCACACTGTAGGCGGCCGATATCACGAACACGAAGGAATCTGACTCACAACTATATTTTCAAATGCTTTACTAACAATTAATTAAAATAAAATATAAACAAATGCAGACTGTGTGGAGTGAGCTGCATGTGTTTGTGAACGAGAAGATAGGAAGTGCAAGTGCCACCACCGTAATTACCACTTACTTTCTACGCTTTTCTCATGCTGAAGAAAGTCACTCTAGCCAACATTGCATATGTGTAAATTTGGTATTTATTGCGTTTTATTCAATCAATTTTATAATAAATACAATCACATTGCTTTCTCTTTTGACAATATTCGAATATATGAATCCGCATTCAAATACAGAGTCTTAACGTAACTAATCATTCCAATTTAAAATACAGGTTTAAATTAGTCAAATAGCTTTAAAATAATCCTCGGAATATATGAAGTTATTATTGGAGTTAATAAGAAACATAACTTAGGCGAGATCAAACAATCTCTTGAGATCATTGACGTTAAGGCCGGCCGATCTGGTCTTTTTAGAGTTATTTACCAAGTTGTCAGCCAAGTCCATCTTGACTTGTTGAATTTCCATAACTCTTTGCTCAAACGAAGATTGGCAGATAAATCTGCAAGCAAATTAGTACATACATAATTATATATATATATTCATCATTAATTCATGTATGTCCTAGCTGAATAATTGAACATTGGACATTGCTGGTCTTACCTTTTAATGTACACCGATTTAGTTTGGCCAAAGCGATGAACTCTGTCCTGAGCTTGGCGTTCAATTTGGGGGTTCCACTGAGGCTCAATAAAGTATACGTGATTGGCCCCTGTGAGGTTAAGGCCAACTCCACCAGCCGTAATGGAGAGTAACAGCACTTGAGGGCGTTTTGGGTTTCCGTTAAATTTATTCATTACTTCCGTCCGCTCTTGCACCTTCAGACGTCCGTCCAAACTGTCATAGCTGAAACCCTTCTTGCGCAGGTGCTGAGCCAAGATATCAAGAAACGAAGTCCATTGTGACACAATAATGACTTTATCCATGAGCTGTCCTTTTTCTTCTGCAACCAATTTTAACTTGTGCAATTCTTCTAAGACCTGTAAATGTTAAGACAATTGGTATTCTGTACATAGAGAAAAAATTTAGAACAATTAAAGAAATGGTGCGCAATTACTTACCTTTCTTATTTTTGCCGACTTGAACCCAGGCTCAAACACTGGATTTTTTGCATTTATTGGATCATCTAACGGATTGTAACTCGTGTCGCAGTCTGACTCGTCCACATCATCGTCATCGAGCATTGTCTTGATCAAGAAAGGCAAAACAGCAAGCTGACGAAGTCTAACACACAAACAAAGAATTTGAGAGAACCGTGCATCCTTGGCCGTTTCGTTCTTTTTATTTCCACGTCGCATGGCGCCTGCAACGTAATTATTAGCAGCATTTTGCAGCTCATCCTGCCGATCCTTCTGGGCTTTCAAGAATTGTCTCATGACCGACTTTGCATAATCAAATAGGTACGTGTACACCTGATTTTCTGATTCTGATAGGGTCACCTCGATCTCCTCTATATATTTTGGAAGAATTATGCCTGCATCAGGAGACATGGAACTGACTTCTTCTTTTGTACGACGCAAAATAAGAGCTTTTCCAATTGTATGGAGGCGTTCTTCAGAACCCTTTAGCACTGCTTTTGTTCCAATCCAGTGCTTCCACACCTTCACGTCATCGAATGGACTCAACTAAAGATTAAGTAATCATAAACTATTATTTCTCTAATAGTAAGAATTTGCTGATTATAAAAAGTTAATCAAACAGTAAGTACCTGCAGGAACTTGACCAAAGAATAAAAATCTTCTGGTTTATTATGTACAGGGGTACCTAAAAAATCATCATGTAAGTAAGTACACGTGGTACATTCTCAAATTTCTTATTATACTATCATTTGTATTATTTTTGTTATTACCTGTAACAATCCAACGATGATGGGCGCTAATTCTGCAAGCAGAAAGAGCAGCATGAGTCTTGGGGTTCCGAATGATGTGTCCCTCATCTAAAATAATTCTTTCCCAATGAATTCGAAAAAGTGGGCTACGGCAATTATTATTTGGATCATCATCTGGCTTCGAAATTTCACTTGCTAAAATGAAACAAAATCAAATTAACCTGGCTTAATATTATGAGGAAATGTTGAAGTCTGTTGAACGGATTTGTAAATCAAACTTACATAAGGTTGGATATGTTGTAATTACCACGTCGTTTTGGGATAGCAAGGCCGCAGACTTTATTCTATTTGATCCATGAAACATGAGCACCTGGAGACCTTTCGCCTTCGTCTTCAATTCTTTGTCCCATTGTTCAATACAGCCAACTGGGCAAACTACTAATGTGGCTCGTGACGGCACCAACTTTTTATTCTGTGGCGTAAACCAGTTTTCTGTGTCCTCTCTTGCTGCAGTTTTCCCATGTAGGATCAACGTGATTGCCATAATTGTTTTTCCTAATCCCATTTCGTCTGTTGATAAATAAAAAATGGCTTGAAAATAATTATACATTGTCACAGGTACAAGTGTAATTTACCAGCTAAGATGCCTCCACCAGGATACTGTCTCTCACGCCAGCACAACCATCTAAATAAAAAACAAACAACATTTAAATACTATCATTCAGTTGATAACAATGAAATGAATGAAGTTATACTTTGATCCATAGATTTGATGTGGATAAAGTTCGATTCGTAATTGCTCAGGTACAATAAAATCAGCATGGTCGTCATCAACGTGTGGCATACTTTGAGTAATTTCCATCAGGAGTTTGGCTAATTTAAAAACGTCAGTTTTACACTCATTAATTTTGGCAACTGACATCCAGGTATTGTTATTTGGTCGTGGTTTTGAGCTTGCAAATGGATTATGCAGTATAGGAAGTGGTTCTTCCAGAAACTGCACCAGTGGTTTTTTCTCAATATGCTGTTTCTTAATACGTGCAGTAATCTCGTCAATGTCTTTATTTTGGGGAATGTTCATTTGGTGTGGTCCATTATCAGTGTCTTCGTCATCTTCACTGAACTCTACAACGTCATCACTACCATCATTGGTCGAACCGCGACGTGGATTTCTCGGACCAGAGGGTGTACCACTAATGCTTGGACTCAAAGTTATGACTTCCGTTACTTCCGTAGCTGCATTGCAGTTTGAGTCACACAAGTCTATGGTCTCCTTGTAATTGCCAGTCAAGTTCAGCCGATTTCCATCCTCCGCCGCCCCTATACTAGTGACGTCAAGTTCTTCAAAAACATGTTTCATCTGAAATAAAGTGTATTTTTAATAATTGCAAAAAAAATCACATTAAATGAATGAATGAAAAGCACAAATGTCAAAAAACTAAATACACGCTTATGCATATGTATACCTGTTTTCTGTTGGACAACAAAGGCGTTGAGGTCGACATTTTCCTAGTCAAAGGTGGGTTTGAAGAAGTCGGGGCTAGTGACGAAAACTGAGGAGATGACGACGATGCCATGGATTTTATTTTCTCAGCTTCAACTCCAGAAGTCCGTCTTTTTTCTTTAAAAGTATATTTTTGAGTGAATAGTTGTCTGCTCGGTAAGTCCTGTTAACCAAAGAAACTTCGTTAGAATAATGTGACTGCATATGCAGTTTATGCATATCTAGATTTGCATTTTAATTAAATTAGAAGATAACTAAAATTTATACCCTACCTTTACCGTGTCTTGCAAGCCCGAAACAGGAGAGTGACTGGGAATTGAATTCCTAACCACAGTAGGCAACCTCACAGGCAAACTGCTAGGACTTGAGAGGTCAATAACTTGTGGAACAGACCCATTTCCTGAATCCCGTTGAGACTTAACTGACAAAGGCGAGCCCACATTTTTCTTTGCGCCAATGGATAGTGTTGCAAGCCCTTTTTCGATGCTGGTAGAGGATGGTGTAGGCATAATCACGCCACCGGTCAAAGATTTTGAAACCTAAAGGTCCAGACAAAAAAAAATATTAATTGTTAAAAAATAGTTTTGCGTGACTCTCCTGTCATTAAAACTCACCGCCTCGGAATGGTCATCTAGCCTTGGGGGGGTTTCTGGAACCATAATTGAATGTCCTTCGCTTGCGTCGTCCTCTATGTTAGTGTCATCGTCATCATCTTCTTCGATAATGGAATGGCTAGTAGATTGCGAATTCTCAAATAATTCATCATCTTCGGCATTATTAGAGTGCTCCTCTTCGTCAGTAGTTGAATTATGTGATGTTGAAATTTCGGCATCTGGTATGAATCCATCTCTTGAGGCTCCGAGATTTAATGCTGGAGACTGTGTACGTTGATCTTCCTCATTACTCTCCCCTTCACTACTTATTGCCGACTTGAAAGATTCGTCAAGCAAGTCTAAAGAAGTGCCGGAGTTTGATTTGCTGGAAGCCATTGTCACTGGAAAAACATAATAAAGCCAAAAGTTAAGTTTGATTAGTTAGTATGCATACTACTATGTCTAATTTTGTGGATTGAGTCGAGAATCTCGACTCGAGATTATTACAGGAAACCCAATGTTGCTAGACAATCTAAGATTGCAAGATTATTTGATACGTTATCACTGTATAAGGGAGAAGTGTTACCTGGATCCTAAAAGTCAAGCGATCGTGTGTGAATAAAGTTTCTCTTCCTCGGAAATGATAAGTGCGAGAAGAACAAATGAAATGCGTCCGTGTGTGCACAGCAGTAACCGTCAACTGAGGAAGACTGGCATCAATCCAACAGCATTGCAGCAATAGCCCGCCGTGAAGTTTATGTAGCCACCAATCAGCACTTTCTTGTCTCACCTCATTGTTCAATGAAAATATGCAATTTGTATAATGCAAATATGACATAACTTTAGCTTACAGATAAGAATACAGTGCAAATAAATTTGTCCTATTCACACTGTGTTTCGACAAATACAAAAAAGTACTTTGTTTATTTAGCCTTGTAATTCAAGTTCTTGAAATTGCAAATAACCAAAAATTAGAGTCCTCTAATCTATGACAAGTTTACAACCAACTTAAACACAAGGAAAATATGATAACCATTTAGCATATGTAATGTTAATCTAAATATTCAGATTTATAAACAGTACTAAGTTAGAATATTTGGTAAGACGACTTATCTCCAAGCTTTCTTGCCACTGAGTTTGCCAAAACTTGACTTCTCATATTCAAAAACTCGGTCTTCCCAATAATTTGCTGGTACGGTGATATTTTGCTCGTGCCCATCACGACGTGACCAAGCTTCGAGTCCAATTTTGCGTCCAAACGGGCATTCCTAATCAAATTGACAATCCATCGCTCTGCCTCGTCGGTGGTCATGTCCAATTTCTCAGCCAACATTCTGTGTATAGATCACAATTAATCTTGAATCACGCCGTTCATTTGACTAGGCAATAACATCAAATATTTGTTAGTAACATTTTTAAAAAATTACCCAATACTGATACATTGATGAATTCGGCAAAAGGTTTCAAAAATCATAAGGCGAGCGTGATCAATAAAATCATTGTAGCAGCTGATGAGGAAGAAGTCATTTGACAAAACACGTTCACATTCCTTTAACTTTTGTTGAGCTCCATCAAAGTCAAAGTTAACATGCAAGCATTTGATAAACTCTGTGATGGGATCCTTGTACGTGTACGTTTCCTAAAAGATTCAAGTAGTTAAAGTAGATTAGTTTAGCATTTCCATTGCATCATTTGCATCATGTCTCTGCTAACCTGTTGAATCACAGCTACCAATTCCTTCATGGCACTTGAATGTCTACTGTGCTTGCTGATGATGACAGCCGTAGCCCAATATCGTAGAATGTGAGGACATGTTGTTTGAATTACTGCAATAAATTAAAAATAATATTAATTTGCATAGGTTAAATGCAAGATATTCTTGAAATATTTTTTGCATAAATGAGTTGCTATTCAATTGGATGAAATATATTTAGATTATTCACCATTCAAATATTTTGCATTGTTGGATAGCAAGTCAAGTAAAAAGTCCCAGCCCTTGGTGTGATTAAAGTACAAGTATAGCCCCCAGTGGAGGAGCCACGTACGTTGTTGCAGAGTCTGCAAATTAAAAAAATGCCGTTGTTGGAATATTGCATAACGAATTAAGTTTTCTTAACTAATTGATTAGTTATATTATATATTTTATACCTGCAAAGCATTTCGAAAGGGATCTTCGTCAATAAAAGTCTTTAGCTTTTCGAAATCCTCCAACCCGTACTCCCATTGGTGAAGTAAAATGTTGCAGGCCAGCTTGCCCCAAAGACCACTCAAATAATTCTAAAAATAAATAAAGAAGAAAGTATAAAAATTGTAAACAAATAGATATTTTCTTTCCAATGGCATATTTACAAGTTGATACCTTGTCAGAACTGGGGACCAATTCATTGTGAAGATTCAAATACTGTGAAGCAGTGGAATAGTCGCCACACTCGTAGTATAGTTTTGCATAGTCATAGATGGAGTCAATCATTTCCGGTTTGAACTATAAACAATATATACAAGATGCACAACCAATATGCAAGAGATAATAAATCCAATGACTTTAGTAAACTCTAATAAACTGAAATTACATTATGAGCCTTAGCTAAATATTCCACGAGTTGTCGATAGTCTCTCGAGTTTGAAATTTGTTCAGCAAGTTCGGCACTCTCCAAAATTGCAGTGATCGGTTTCGAGCTCTCCTGCACGGATTTGTACTCCTCAACGACTTTGGTTCGTTTCTCCATGAATTTCTATAAAATAGTAAAACATGATCGTTTAGTAATTACCTCTAAAATTATTCGCAGTAGTTGACGCATTTGCGCCAATTAACTAAAAACTAACAGGAGGAATTTCTTTTTCGGGGTGCAACTTTTTAAAAACATCAATTGCATAGTCGACCATCTTCGTCTCAACAAGTAGATCCAACTTGGACTGCAAAACCTCTTGTTGGTTGTAGATCTATAAAAAATGAAATGTCAAGTGTAAACATCAAAATAGTAATACACCTAATTTTATTTAGTGAAAAGAATTATTCATTTATCATTAATATTTTCCACTTACATTTTGTCCTGCAATAAATTCCAACAGAGGAGCAACCAAGTGACGATCCAGATTCTGGGATATTTTACTCGTGAGGTCGTACTGCGCCATGATGATAGTTTCCACACTTTTTAACACCAATTTTCAAAAACTTTCGAAAATGAGAGAAACACACAATATGCAAGTGACACGCCGTCCGGCTCAAACTCTGGCCACGTTAAATTTGGAGGGTTAAGAGATGGCACGTCGTTCCTCCCAATACAGATGGCAGGCGAGAGAGAGAATCCAGTCTCAGCAACTGCTGTCAGAAAAATCTCACATTTACAATTCTCAACATGCTCTTGTCTCAACATGTCGTCAATTTGTAAAAGTTGACAATTTGACATGCCACATTTTTCCTACTTACTGATCATCATTTCGATAAAACTCATTCCAACCCTCATTACACAATACGTACGACTTTACAAATCTAGTACATCGTTGTACAAATTGAGATTCGACATCCTGATCTAAAGCAAGATTTTATTTTATTTTTCAAAGCACGGCCTTTAAAGAAATGAGGTGAAGCTGGAATACGTCGATTACTTATAAATGGAGGAAAGTATAACGTCCTTATTTGTAGGCTGCTAATGCGTTATCATATACGAGGAACGAATCTAATTTGAATCTGGTCATACGAATGAAATCACTTTTTAAGAAAGATCTTTTAGCTGGTTAATTGGAGAAATGGTTTCGATATGAGCTGGAATACCTTCTCGAACCTCTAACCAAACCAATATGTAGCTAAGCAGAGGAATCAATTCGAATCCTGCCAGAACTAAAGTTACTAAAGTTAAGGAGGGAGCCGGCCGAAGGTATTTCCGCGGTGCCCACGGGCGAAGAGATCGATCTCTCTCCAGTGAGAGAGGATTCATCAGAGGGGCACATGCCACGCACAGGGTCGTCCCTTCACTTCCTCCTCCACAAAGTCTGCACCAAGGGCTCGTTTACATTCCTGCCTTCCACCTCCAAGAGTTATCAATACTCGTGATGGAAAGCAAAAAAAATACCTCTGGTGGAAGGACCAACAGCATCACTCACTCACTGGCCCAGAGAGAACAATTACATTATTATTACTGGGTTGTGTGACTGGTCGCAGTGGACGATGATACATGATGGCAAGGAATTCCTCCAGCCTCCTATTCAAAATGTCGATGTGGGGCAGGTGGGACTGAGAAATGAAATGAATAAAAGGAGAATGCCATCGTACATACAAACACAATGCATGCGTATAAGTACATGGTATAAAGTGAGAGCAGCATTATTAAGCTCCAAACATTTATATACATTGTTGTTCACAGATATCTTTAGGAGGCATAGATGTACAACTGCGGAAGAGAGACGACGATCCCCTCAAGACTTTTATGTGAAGGAAGGATGAGAGAGAGAGAAGTCTTAAGAAGATTGTCTCACAACGAAAGCATCAGCAAGTTCTTCTCCTTCCTACGACGAAGAGGAGGACGACCATCATCATCATCATCTCAAGAGACCCATCACCCTCCTTAAGTACAAGCACTTAATCTTGTGGTCAGACCATAATCTCTCGCAACCACTGCGAGCAAACAGTCGACCCCACTATGTGGAAAATCCCGAAAATTTCCAACTGTTTCATATCCCTTGGTCATGTTATGTACCAGCCATGAGGATTACACCCAATCCCAAATTATTTTAGAGGGACTTTTTTCTTCTTGGCGTGAGACTGTGAGTCTCTGAATCCCTCTCTTAGTACAAATTTCTCATCTCTCTCTGCTTCATGACGACAAATAGTAGTGGTGATTGTGGGGCAGGTGTCATACACAGATTTTCCCCCTTAAACCCTCAATTACTCTCCAATCTAATCTGTAAATTATTGGAAATAAAGTTGTGGTTGCTTAAATGAAAGATTATTAAATTGAATTATAAACTTCACCGGTGAAAAAAACAGTGTCCTTTATTTTAACATAACGAAGCCCAGTGATTGTTCAACAAGTTAAAGTGTTAGTGAGTGGTGTGGAATTTGTTGTGAAAAATGTTGATCAATCGATTGGTGGATGTACATAATAATCCATGCTCACTTCCCAATTACAATTACACTTATACACCGGCAATTTGTATTTCTGCGCAATCAATAATTTAACATATTGTTGAATTGAATCGCTTATTATTGCCAATCTCATATGGCGTGTCGTCGTAAACGCAAAGTCATAAAAGAACTTGTTTGAACTGTATCTGCATATTAAAGTGATTTCAAAGTGGAGTTGAGTGAATTGTTACTCTGAGATAATTAGGGGTTGGTTGGAGTGGTTCCATCTCCGATCGCTACCTTATTACTCTTTAATGAACCCAGGTGAGTTGCTTCTAGATTTTTGGATTATTTTAAATTTTCCGATTCATAATCAAATACTCGCCATTATTGATCGTCGTTAATCCATTTGTGCAATTCTTTCAGTTATTTCTGTAACACATATTCCTTATACATAAATATCTCTTCAGTTAGATTAAAATTAAAACTTAGTTTAATTGAACTGGATAGCCAAATTTTGAAGCCCAACATGTGTATTATAAATATTACAGGTTAATGCATAAGCAATTATTGTTACTTCCAACTTGTTCACATGAGCAGAAGAGCGTTGAGGGATTGCATTGACTTGAATTCCATTGCGGATTAACCCTGCAGCATGAAAACCGGGATGAGCGAGCTAAGAATGACAATTGCTTTTCCATGACAAAAAAAGCACCATAACCACCGACTCATCTATCCAACCACCTCGTATGTATGCATGTATGCACGTTGTTGTGTGTGTGTACATTGTATGAATTGTGTAATAATGGAGAAGATGATGCATTAAATGTTGCCTTCTCTCTAAACTATTAAACTGATTGAATAAACTTTGGCTATAAAACTGGTTAAACTGTGAATCAAATTGCAGACCGGCTTCTCATTTAACTACTCGCTGAACGACCTGTCAAATTGGCAGTAACCAATGATCCACTTTGAAACAGAAAGTATGTGTGTTAATCACATTACATTTACTATGTATGTAGTAGTAAACAACACAAGCAAACTTTTAAAAACAATTATTTTTACAAACCATATTATATATATGCTAATGTTTAAAATGCCGGTTGGCCAATATTCACCGAATGTGCAAATTTCAAATTTGTTGCATAATGACTAAACGCATAGTTTAAGGAGTGGTGACCGAATGAGTCACTTGTGCACGGATTATAACTCTGTGAAGTTAGTGTTGCTTGGATTATTTCATTCTTTCATTTCACTCATTAGTATGCTTTCACATTGCATAATTTAGCATATAAATTTGTCTATTAATACACACAACTTATACTTGGATTATTATTATAGTCTCATTTTCTCCACATTCTTTGGATTTATTTAAGCATGTTCTCCAATCCAAGTGATATCAAGTGTTAAAAAAAATGTTTCAGAAATGGTTTTCGAGCTGATGAGCTTATCCCTTTCCACATAAGTTCTTGTAAACCACACTTAAGCATTAGTGGATTCACCAAATTGGGTGTAGGCAAAGTATCCTGGACTGACGGGGTGCAGTAGTAAGAAATTAGGCAAGAGTAGAACTGGTGTTGTTGCCGACCATAAAATTTTAGTACTCGTACTTTCTTGTAACCAACTTCTCCAAAAATATTGGACTGGACTTTTTACCGTCCACACTTTCCTCTCTCTCATGCAGTGGTTACAATAATAATCACACAACTGATGTTGCAATGTGATATGTTAAAAGTTTTATTATCCCTTTGTTATGACGACTTGCTTTCTAGTGTAATTCAGACCGACAGAAAATACCAATACAAATGCAGCACTCGTCTCAACTTGACCACCTTATTTCATCTAATAAAACAAAGAATCCCTAATCTCAGACTCTGAAGAAAAAACAAATTATAGCAAAAAGCAATTATTAAGCAAAGCATTTTATTGCCAAGTAGAAAATTTTTCATAGTTTTACGGCAAATTGGGCTTTTTGTTGGCCAGCAGCAGCTAATCTCCCATTTTTTTTAGGAAACTAGTCTTGGTAGATTCATACTCATGTAGACCATAAATCCCGACGTGTTGACGACTCTGATTTGTTTTATCGTTCTTTCGGTCGTTAATTAGGGAAACGCAAGAATATTTCGTGAACCTGCACCGGAATTTTTTCGTATGAAAGTATACGCAGGTACATAACATTATTATCGCGTACCTTGATATCAGGTACTCCACGAAAGAAGTACAAATATGTGTAGTATATACCGCCCGTCGGTCATCATCCGTTTTGCTGCGTCTAATCAACAATGCATGCACACTGAACAATGAGCAGAGAATAATGGCTTGTTAAAGAAGATAAACAAGTCTTTACCGGAGACAAGTGGACACCGTGAAGTTCAAGTCATTGTGTCTTTTTTGGTATGACATTCACAAGTAAAAAAAATAGTTTTTTCGTAATGGAATTTCGATGATGCTGACACATAAAAATCCGAAAGACTCCGACCCCCTGGACTTGTGTGTTTGCTTGCTTGCATTATATGCACCCTTTTAATTTTGTCCCTCCAGTCCTCAAACCTTTTTTGGTGCGTAGAGAGACAATGTGATTTGGAGAACCCAACCTCAGATTTACTATACATGTAGCAAGAGTCGAATGTCACTTTTCTGTTATTTATATGCATATTATTCCGAAGGCGAGGAAGAGATTTTGACTGTCTCCAAAACCTTTTGTTGCATTTTACATCAAAAATAATAATAATAAAAGAAACCCAAAAAAAGGAAAGCTTAGATGAGGCTAAGAAGTGCGATAAAAAGTATTTAATAAATTTCTTCTCCAGTTAAGGATATAGAATTTTAATATTTCCGGCATCAGCGCCCCATTTCAATCTAAGCTGACTAAATTGCATAAGCAACATGTTTATGTATACATATTACTAAGAGTCGACTCTATTAGGTCAGACCTGTATATTTATCAACTTTCTGTATATTTGCAAGCATTCATAATTTTTTAGATTTGATGCATATTTGTTTGTATATGGTAGTGAAATGGGGCGCTGATGCTGGAAATATTAAAAGTCTATATCCTTAACTGGAGAAGAAATTTATTAAATACTTTTTATCGCACTTCTTAGCCTCATCTAAGCTTTCCTTTTTTTGGGTTTCTTTTATTTATTAGTTTTTATTTGTATTAAAAAGTAAGGTCAAAGGTCCCATGAACTCCCAAAAATGTCCCAAAAATCCGACTGGGTACATTTCCGAGAACTTTTTCTCAAACAACGATGAAATTCAGAGACTTCATCATTCATCATTTTTCAAGAGACCCAAGCGTAGCCTAGATACTAAATTTCAAGCAATCGTGTTCTGAATTGAAAAGTTGCTGGGCCGACCTTAGCAACTCACCTTTGGGCGGTGGTGGGAGCGGTCACATTTCACCACCATCAAAACTTTCTCAGTTTTAAACCGATTTGAAAAATTTTAATTTTGTATTTTTATAGAAAAAATGTATTCGCTTTTTATCCGTGTACTTTTTTCATACATGCCTTAATTTTTTTCAAATCTCCAAAAAACACACTATTGGTTGGGTTTCTATTGAATATCTCATAAACCGTTGGATGCTTCAGGCGGCCAAATCAGGGCTCTACTCGATGTAGCCATAATTAACTCTGGGCAAAATTTCATTAAAATCGGTTGGAAATTGACGGAGATCTGAAAAAATTAAGCTTTTCAGACCTGTAGTGAATGCTTACTTAGATGATTTTTTTCGATATAGTAACTATGGCCTCATCTAAGAAAAAGTTTCAAAGTAGAAATGTTTGGAATGCATAAAGTTCTTGTCTAGCGTCTAGACTCGACAGCGACTAAATTTATATTCACTCATTAAACGTACATTACAGGATATGAACCCATCTCTAATTTCAATGCTACCATTGCTACTCCACAGTTTCATTATTTCCTCTCAGAAACTTTTAGCAAAAACGCTAGTGCTAATTTATCTTCTGTGTTGTTCGCAGGTAATTAGACATGCAGGCGACCCAATATAATAGTCACTGCATACTAATTCACCATGGGCAAGACCAACAGGGAAACAAAGGTTTTTAAAGAGGACGAAGAAACCCGATCAACATCCGACATCTCGATAGCGACTGATCGCTGCAAACATGTTTTCACTCAAGACTTTTCTGTTGCCACGGTCCTGGTTGTCGCCTATTTGATTGAAACCATAGTTCAGGTAAGAGTGACCTCTGCCAAAGTTGTAGTTAATTATCATTATGTATGCAAGTGGGTCAAAGAGACGAAGAAAATGTCACACGTCTCTAATGATGCGAATGCGAGATAACGTGTAATGAATCGCAACAAGTCAACAAGATTATTTATTTGCAAAATTCTAATAGATCGTCCTGATTGTCAACTGTTACCGGTCCCCTTTTTTCATTTCGGCGACATCGAGTCAAAACTGGTTATGGATATTATTTCTCAGTTGGATTGTCACCTCTTTGCTGGTCACGCTCGTGAGTGTCGTTTGGACTTGGAATGGTTTGGATTTTTCAGGAAGAGTGTGTGGTCAACTGCTTTGCTACCTCATGCATTTGTTTTTATTAGGTAAGGCAACAACACACTGCCAAAATCGTTTGAGTGCGTATTACATAAGTATCTATATGAGAGGTTTATGCTCTATCTGAATGCTAAATTTTCAGGTTTTCTGTGGCGCTACTTGAAAATTGCGTTGGCTTATGAGAAAGCGGACGTTGAAGAATTTTTCAAGTTGAGAAAACTGCAGATCTATATTCAAGCATTTCCACTCCTCGTCGTCCATCTTGCATACCTCCTCAACGACGACCTGGCACAAGTAAGTAATAATCATAGAATGGAATCCTCTATTGTTCAGAATGGACGAGAATGTATTACTTGTTCATCTAACGTTATGTAATTATTAAGTACGGTTGTCGTTGTTGTTTGAATAGAGTTATGATAATTCCGTGGGTTCGTGGATGATTGCGGGGGAATTGTGCAGTTCAATACTCTCATTGTCTCTGCACCCATTGTTGAAGTTAAAAAGCGAGCCGTTGGACGAGGGAGCGAGGAGGAGCAGTGACCATAAACATAAGCCACGACGACGACGGTTGACGAGTGCAACAATTGAAATCTATGTGACAATCAGGATCCTTCTCCTGATTTCTCGAGTCTTAGTGGTTTCACTACTACTGTTTTCACTCACAACGAGTCGTAGTTACTGGCCTATGCTGGTCATAGCCGCCCATCTCTTGACTATATTTATGTGGACATGCTTAACGACCCTTGTCTTTAATGCTCAGACAACCCCATCAAGTACAAGCACAGCTAAAAGTGGTGACACTGAATCCAATAATGAGTGGATGAGAAACCAAAATGTACAAATAAAAGAAGAAAAGCAACCCAACAGCAATTGTGGAATACGATGTGTTTTAATCCCATCATCACAATCAGCATCATTGTGGGAGAAGAGTAAATCTGTTGTGAAAAACTCGTTAGTTTCTTCGTATGCATTGTTTTGGGATGTGAACAGTGGTGATGAAGATGGTGTTGGTTTTAGTGGGAGTCGCATGTTGGTTAGTCTTTCACTTCCGGTTTTTCTAGTACTGGTTGAAAATGTGATTGTGTTGGTATTTCACTGTGTGGGACCGGGTCAAACCGCAGTATATTTCTTTGTGATTATTAGTGGATCTTGTCTTGCCTTTGGACTTTTACTTTATATCCTGATGACCACCCGGAATAAGTGGAATATCGTTTGCAATTCTCAAAAAGAATTGCCGGCAATTGAACACCAACAAATAAATCCTGCTGTGGTCGCTGGGAGTTTCCATAAATTTTTGCCAAATTCAGTGATAATTGAGCATGAAAAGTATCGCCTTGATCATAATTTCCGAGATTATGAGAATGAAAGAATAAACGTTTTACTAAATGTGAGAAATGTGAACAATAAACTAGCATCTCCTCCCATTCTTCGAGTTGATGAGGGTGTAATGAGTAACCTGAGCACGAGTGACATAACAAATACCTGCAATTATGTGAGGATTAATGAAACGCTGATGATGGCCGTGAAAATGCACCAAGGTGGAAATCCTGACATGAACAATGAGAATAAAATGGTGAGTACTTACCAAAAACGCTGTCGGAAACCAGTTATGCATTTTGAAAAATTGAACCTGTCGGCCGACCGCGAGTTCGAGACGTCTTTCGTTTCGTCCATTATTTTCCTTTTCTTCTCTTTGATGAACTCAAAATTCTAAGATTTAAAAACTTTTATGAATCACCTGTCACTCTGGTAATCAATCAGTCAAGGTTCTATGCTGACCATGCTGACCCATACATTTATTTATTAATTTTTCTACCAATTTGTTAAAATCTTGAAAAGGCAAATACAGAAATCAGCTATATGTATTTTTACAAACTAACAAGACATGCTCGAGTATATTTTGATGTATGATAGTTAGCCGTGCAGATATGTTAATTCCAATTTGTTTTACAGGGTCATCAGCGATTCCACGAAATTTTGACGACACCCGTCGACCGTGGTGAAATTGTATCACCACCATCGCATGACAACACTAAAAGGAGTCTAAGTTCCACAAGTAGTCGAAATACCAATACCATATCAAATTTAACTCTGCAAAATTTCCCAGATGAGGCAAAACACAAGAACTCAACCAAGAAATCAACGACGCATTCAATTAACCAAAGCAGCCCTTTAATCATCCGTAAAGCGTGTAAAATTCAGTTAAACGCACCGAAAAAACATTTACTGAACAGTTTACAACGGAATAATTCCAATCCTGCTGTGGAGCCGAGTGGAGGTAGGAACAGGTGTCACTGCAAGACCATTGACAAATGTGGACCTTACCGAACAAGTGACAGCAGTATTTACGAAAAGTTAATTGAAGACGCATATGGGATTTTAATCTGTGAGGGGAGCCAAAAGAGTGAAAGGCCAGTTAACAACAATGTTCACTCAACCTCAGCAGCACCCCCATTCAGCAAAAAACTAAGGGTTCTCTGTGCAAAATGCTTAGGGAACCATGACCCTCTTCTCTCCAACTGTCCTGCTGTTGTGGATCACACAATTCAATTCGGAAATCGAACCGAAACCTGCCTCAGACTGAAAAATAATGATAACAAGGCTCAAAAAACGTCCCTCTCTCCTGTACCTTTGCCATTTGACTCGCCAAAAATGTACTCGGAAACCACGGAATATCCCACAGACACGGAATTCACCTGCAATTTGAACGACAACGAGGAATACGATGACGACGATGAGGGATCAATCTCCACCCACATTCAATCCGTAACTTATGTCAATTTGCCCTACCACACGACGACCGGTGGGGGTGGATTTTTCAATTCCACATTTAATTCTACTGCTTCCAACATGTTCCCATCTGCAGAGGCGAGAAAAGAGTTTACGGGAATGGAATATGTGAAAGCTTGGCTCCTCATGAATGACGTAGAAGCGAAAGAAATGCTGAGGAAGAGAAATAATAATAATAGGACCAATAATTTAAGTCGTGGAAATTGTAACAAAATTTCGAGTAAATCGAAGCACATTTCCAAACCTCGTCCAAACTCTACGTTAGCAAATCCATATCGTAAAAGTCAACCTATTTGTGTTTACCAAATGAAGTCTCCGCCAATGCAAAAGCAACACCCAGATTTAAACGATAACTTTTCAATTAGTCATCATCATTGTTTAAATCAATCGTCTGAACAAAGTGTAAATTTTAATACAAACCTTAATTGTAAAGAATATCACAATGCCCCATTTGTGGTAACAGATTTTAATGAGCTACAAAATGATTTGTTAGAAACGGTTGTCTAATATTTATTGCAAATGACCACAACTAAAGTATGCAGTATAGATTATTTATTATTCACACATTTGGAAAAGCCAATATTAAAGTAAATATTTTTCTCGTGATATCACATTTGATTTTCATCATTATTTAACTATTTATTGTTGTAGCACATATGTATCACTCGGAATTTACAACTGAACAAAATCCCAATATAAGTATAGATTAGAGTAGAACTGAAATAATTCTGGAAAGGAAATTGCATTTCTTTTTTACTTAAGTACTTATGTATGAAACACGCAAACAGTAAATCTTGTATACTGCGTAAAATATAATTCTCACTTTTCCACATTCTCTCCTCCACATCATAACATCATCATCATCCAAGAAAACTGGGATTTCATTTACTTTTTCAACTGGTTCCAGGCAGAGCAATAAAGAAAATGTAAAATGTGAGCAAGAAATATTTTAACTGCATCGTTAGTAAAAAGGAAGCAAGTAAGTCAATGGCTCGTATTTCAGAGTCTCGACAAAAAAGCGCATTAAAGTTGTTGGGCAGAAGAGAAGGGTAAAATATCCATGGATTTGGGTAAGTGTGGAAGAAAGGTATGAAAGCTTGAGACATGGACTGATCCGTCCGAGAAGATGTGTGTCTTTTAGATGGGTTTGGACTTTTGACCTTCTTTCCTCATCCATCTGAATTGTCTTGGGCTTGTCTTGATTTTGGGCATGGTGTTGTAGTCGTGGTGGTGATGAGACGACTGCTTTGCTGGTAGAAGAAGAGGAGGAAAAAATGCTTAACGTCTTCCAACCAACAATAGGGCCTGGAACTGGAGGGATGATGCAAGTGACTTAAGTGACAGTTGGTAAAGAAATGACGATCCCCAACCGAGCCAGCTATTCCTCATCTAACAATGCATTCTTATTACATTTTCTTCTTCTTCTTGGCCCTTCACAAATATATCGCTTCTCTGAACTTATCCATTCATCCACTAAAAACATCATTGATTTGATAAGTCAGCTCTACGTCTCTTAACTAAGCTCACAATCAACTTCATCTCGTTCTTTCTTCTACGCACAGCCAACACTCTCGTAAACATGGCATGTCAAAAGTAAGGTGGACGAATTTGAAGATAATCTTAAAATGTAATGCCCATCACGAAATCCGCCGTGATTGTTGTCCAGTCAAACCTTGAACTCTACTTGAATATTTGAATTTTCAATTTTTAATCCTCGCTGCTTTATAAATCGAAGTAGAAAAATCCACGGATTAACAAATAGTTAACCCAGTCTCAATGCAGTTCGACTTCTTGCCCCTGTCCAAGTATGAAAATATAATCAATGTTATAGGGGGCGTGCCAGCTAAGATATAAAAATCACCTCAGCCATAACCAATGATAACTGTAAGAGATGACTTATAGTAGAAGATTATGCATGTATGTAGGTACATATAACTCGAGCCATGAGTTGAACTACTATACGCTGGGCTGGGTTACTTCATCTACATATTTTCATTTCTCGCTCGTCTTAAATGTGAAGGATGATGGAGTTTTCGAACCGACATACCAACAATAATGAAACACCAACTCGTGTACCATGGTTGTCAGTGTCATTTCCTCATTCAAATCCCAAATGGGGTTGTACAACCTGTCCATGGCTGATTGCCATGATGATCGATGCTGAGAAGAACAGAATGAAGGGAAAGTTGAGACTGATTGGATTGATCAACAACTAAAATTCCCCATTCTTCACGCTCTTTGTATTAGAAACGAATCTTTATTTTTAGCCCAAACCAACCAAGAAATCACTGGATATGACTTTTAAACTGACATCAGAGTTAAATAAATGTTTTAAAGAGTGGAAAGTCTGGAAAAACCAATTCATCATATTTTCACATCACCAAAAACTATTCCAATTTACACCCGGAATATATAATGATTGTAATATTAATTGAGTTTGACACTACACTCAGACGATTGGGGGATGGGGTGTAAATAGCAAAATTTTGAGCAGCTCAACCAAGTGATCTATTTAGGATGACTGCATCTAAAGAAGATCATTGGGAAAATTGTTATCATGGCCCTACGTGTGCTGCACCCGTTTTATGGAAGCCAAGCGTATTCCTGGAGAAAGAGACGACGAAACGGAGTGAGTGAACTTGGTGGATAAATTCATTACTGAGATGGTTGTAATAAAGAGATATCGTGAAATGATTTATAGTGTAGGGTTCCATTCCTTCTCCCCACGATTACATTAATCGACGGAACATTTTCATAACCAAAAGTGATCTGGCCATTAGATTTCTCTCTTGTAATTAAGTGAAACGACATTTCCTTGCCTACTACACCATTTCACCACAATCCCGCCACCACCACAGACTATGGAGCATTTCTTTTAAACAAAAATTGAAAGTTTTCATAGCTTGAACTGTTACAAGTTCTTAGCATTGTTAAATTATTAGTGGTGAGTCACAAGAGCAACTTTTATGATGAGGAGGAAAGAATGTTTTTCTGAGATTCAACGTTTGTGTAACCAATGTCCATCGTAAAGAGTCAAATTGTTTTATTATGCACCCTCCAAGCTAGACTAGTTTGACATTCATCATTTTTATGAGGATCGGGCAACCGGAGCCAGAATTTTCCCACTTTGTACTTTGATGTTCCACTTACTTATCTATCCACACATTCGAGAGTCAATAGCGAAACTAACATTTCCGGTAACTTGAGCTTTCATCCATTCGAAAGAACTGATATGTATACATACAAAAAGGCAGAATGACACACTTTTTATTTCAGCCAAGTGAAATCGAATCAGATTTAAAGGGGGGAATCCCGACTCTTCTTCTGAACTTGATTTACTATATTCATGATTGGACAAGGAAAGTTTCACCAAACACAAATTACACATATAGATACGTAGATAAATGCACACAAATAACTTATTTCCAATACTCATAGTGTCTGAAATTTTGTGTAAGTGTGGTCATGGTATTGCTTCCCTTGTGGTCTACTTTTATAAAACATTTCAGTTATACTGACATCTTAACAATTATAATAATTATTTCTTTGGTTTACTTCTGAGAAAAATAAACAGGTTTGGAATGAATGTGTTGCTAACGATTGTCTCAAAAAGTAGTGGTTGCGGTGGTGCTGGAAGAATACAGAGCTACGAGTAAATGTCGGCGAAGGAAGGAAGGAGAGAAGGCGAACCCTTGGTGGTGAGATAGGCCGAGAAGGAGACGTCGGGCGGAATTGAGTTAGCAAAAGTGGAATCAGTTATTCAAACGAACAAAGTTGTCTTCCGAACTTTCCCCAGTCGTTCACCCTTTTGCTCCCTTTCTCGAACCCACACGGCCTATTAGTTACACCCCGCACCGTGAATAATCGGAGGTATTTACATAGATCACATCCTTCCTCCGCTACCCTCTAATGGGCCTCTGATATGCAACTCAAGTGAGAGGGACAATTTCGGTGGTAGAACTTTTGTTCTCACCATCATCACCAACCACCAACAAAATCCATAATCGGTGTATATCTCTGAACACCCATCTCATCTCACAAGCATTCATTAGCATATTCATTGGCATTATTGTGTCGTTGTTGTTGTGGTTCCGTACTTTTAATGCAGTTTTTAAACATTTCAACCTTTCAGCAAATGCGAACATGCAGATTCTGTATTTGTGGAGCTACTCTTAGCACTAATTATTGACATGAAAAAGATCATGTTGAAAACGATCACTTATCCTCGTACATTTATTGAATATCTACAAAAACACCTGTGTGTGTGCTGTGCTTGATGAGAAAGTGGATGCAGGAGGTGAAGAAATGGAGGAGGAAGAGGAGAAAGTGGCAATTTGGTGTAATCCAGTTTGGTGAGAAAAAGTTCCAAGGGGCGACGACAAGGCGACTGGAAGTGGGGTGCGATAAATCATTCGGGTGGTGAGCAAGAGGGATGACATGGCATCCTTGATCGTGGAAAGAATGAAATCTCTGCGGAAGCAAATCAAATTTATTTGTCTCGCAAGAGAGACGTTTCCACTGGGAATACACAAAGTTGGCTCTTTTTTCGTGGATATTGACTTCCATCATGATCATCATTGAAAGCGATTAGATCTACCCGTCAACTAACCACGCTCCTTGGACAAATGATGTCACGCCGATATACAAACGGTTCGCTCGACACGAATCAAATTAGCTCCCTTTCCCAAAACAGTTTCACATAGATCACTTGCATCTCATACATCAAATCAGAACAATTTTTGCTTGGGAAATTGCATGTACGGCAGATCCATGAATCCATATACATATTTTGATTGTGTAAATCAAAACCTAGTCTAGAAAATAATTTAATTTTTTAAACTTCTCCCATCCACCTGACGAAATTCCCAGATTTGGTGGCTAGAGGGAAAATAAAAATGGTATTTTATGAAGCGTATTTAACTGGCTTATTTACATGATCACAAGTTGCTGCTCCAGGACACATGAAATCAAAATCTGATCTCATCTAATAAATATTTTAAGGGCTCGTACCACCGAGTCTCGTGAATTAAAGGCAATCTTGTAATTCACGTATATAGATAAACCATGATTTTCAGTTAAATTAAAAATAGCGACAGTTAGAATTCTTGCCGAAATTCTTCTTAGCTTTTCTTTCCTTTCTCAATTTAATTTTTGATTTTGACTATTCTTGAAAGCGTACTATGTCGACAGATGACAGTCTAATAGGAATACAAATTTCGATTTGTTCCCACAATGATTTTGGAGACATTCTACATACTTTCAAAGAAATATTAGGAAACAATTGAAAATAGTACGTCTCGTACATAGAAAACAAAATGGTCAATTTTTTACAGAGGAAACAACTTACTTTCACGAAAAGCAAAGAAATTGAAGAATGGAAATGTTGAGGAGGAGAATGAAAGTCGGTCTGGTGGATAAAATGGGGAGCTGGTGATAAGTGTATTAGAGGGCGAACAAAGTGGCAGCCTCTCGCCGATCCCATTACTCTGATAGCAGAAATAAAGTAATTGAATGGGATCCATCTCTTTATCTTTCTCGCCTTGGAATAATAATTTAAATCCATCATGACAGCACGGCTTACTCATTTCTTTGACTCGCACACATTTTATTTATTTCTTCATTTATGAATCATCACGATTATCATACTTTTTACATGCTAAAGGTTCGCATACAAACTTTCAGACTAATACGATTCTAAGTATTTACTTTTATCCGTGAGTGTGGGAATGTGAGAAGAAAGTTAAAAAAACTGTGATACAACAAGTGACACAAGTGAGACGGTTACTGCTTGAAGTTATGATTAGAACTTGCTCGTTGGGTGTGGGGTTGTGAGGATGCAAAGGAGACGGATAGTGGGGAACGTGCTTTCTCCCCGTTGTTGGAGGCAGGAGAGACGACTGGAGATGTGGTTTGTCCCCCGGAATCACTTAATCTTGGGAAAGCCGTGACAGGATTACTATTACTGACTGCTGAAGTACCAGTTGATGAGACATTCTGAGCCTCATAAGCTGCGGCAAGTGCTGAGGTCGGAATCGCAATTCCGGTCGCTTGGTTCATGGCTAAAAGTCTTCTTAACTCTTCCAGAGCGTTGGCTTGCATCAAAATGTGATTCTTTGCCAGGAGCAGGGTAGCGATTTTAGATAATTTTCTTACAGATGGGGAGTGGGCGTAGGGTATGACACTCCTTAGCTCATCTAGTGAACAATTTTGTATTAATGGAATGACCCACACAGCGATGAACTACGAGAACGTGACCCGTTTGGTAAGATTTTGATACTTTTAAAATAATTGATAATCTTAAAAAATTGCCCATCTAAATACTTAGTATTTTAGGTAATCTTTCATGTGGTTCATTCTTTCATGTGCTTTCCTACTGGATTTCTGGCCATGCTTGTACTGCAGGGTCATGATCTCGTTGGTCATCATTACGTTATCATCATGGATTTTATTATGTTACCTAACGCATCATTCAGGTCGTGCATCCTCCTCCTTTCCCTAGCATTGATGGATAACCGGACAGCTTTGCCTTGTCTGTTTTTCTTATTGGAGAGACCCCCCTTGGCAGAATTCCCCTTCCCACCACTGCCCCCCATCTTGTCCTCTCTTTGCAGGGGGCCGTGGTGAGAGGATATCATGGGACGGTTATTCTCATCCGCCTCATTCTTTCCAGTGGTGGACATGCCAAAATAGTGTTCGCCTCCACCACCACTTCGAATAATGTAACTTTCACTATCACTGTCCCCACTGTTTGTCGAAGAACATCGCTCCCTCCCAACATCCAACTCACATTTCGAGTCTTCACAATCAGATAGTGTTCCCGTATCAGAGTGAAGTTCACTTTTGGACAGCAAGGAAGACATTCTCATTCCTTCCGTAATATTAAACTTATCTCCTCGTCTATCTCCGTCCAGTAGCTGCTGCGGTTGACCATGGTGGCTGGGTGGCATTTTAGTACCCGCAGATAAAACTCCACCACCACCACCGGTCCCGTAAGGATGATATCTGGCTGGTGGACCGCCGTCATAATTGGGTGGGAGCTGGGGGACGATTGAGGAGAGATTGGCGTAGAGCGAGGCTGCTGGGTTTGGAGTGGGAACGGGATGTTTAATTGCAGGGTGTTGGCGGAATGCCGATGCACTGGGAACAACGGGAAATTCACGAAATGGGGGGTCATTTTGTATGACCTGCTTTATCGTTTCACTAGCTGACGACACTGTCATGTGCTGATGAGATATCAAGTCACCAATCGCCATGAGAGAATTTCCATGAGCGTATGGGGGCAAAGGGAAAGTCTCCATTTTCACACTTGCAAACTTTCTGGTAGCTACTTTCTGTGAAATAAATTAAAAATTACATATGTATTTAATGTCTGTTCTCATTATTAACTTATGAATCCAAGTGAGGAATATCACAAAAGAATACGAGAAGTCCGTATTTATGCAGAGAAAGTTCAAAAACAGATTATTCACTCACAAGACAAGTAAGCAAGAATACCACAATTTACATAAAATGTGACGGTACAACTTACGAGATGAGGCTGGAGAAAGTTGTGGTGAAAGTGTTTGACAGCGGATGATGAGAAATGGAACAAAGTCGTCTTTGCAGTCTGGAACGAGGGCGAGGAGTGTGGTGCGAGGAGACGTCGGATGTGTTTCCACAATTTAGGAGAGCGGAGAGAGGGAGAGAAAGAGGGATGAGCGATTTCTTTGTGGGTCGTCGTTGCAGCCTCGAAGGGGTTGTCAGTTCGGGTGAAGAGCGCAGTTCCTCTCCTCTCGCACTCAACAAATGCCCGGGTGCTTAGGGGCGGCTTTTCCGCCGATAGACAACCAATTAGAGGTAGATCCAGTTCAACTTCTTGACTTCCCTCTCCTGCCTCCGTATAAAATTCAAGACAAGACTTGAACTTTTTACACACCGATCGACGCCGTTTCTCTTCTTGAACTTTCACTCTATTCTCAAACCCAACAGTATCTCTTACGATGATGGTGTTACATACACCCAAATTTGCTAAATTTACAACGACACAAGATCAATTCTTTAAAAATCTCAACTTTCTCCGAGAGAAACTCAATAATGCACGCACTTGAAGGACAGAAGCACACTGGACGAAGTTGCATCAATTTTTGATTTTACTTTCGAGAAGATGGTTTGGGCCAACCCCCATCAGCATCACTTTGGACATCTGGTTGAGGACTCAGCGTTTAATGGACACAAGTAGATATTTCTGGTCAAAGTGTCATATGTAAAGAGGATTCTTAAATAAAACTCACTTGCTCATGTCGTAGCAGTAGTTAAACCCAACTCGATTTGTGAATGAGGATAAAAATGTTGAATAATACTTAATAAATCAGAACATGCCGTATGGCACTTGCCATATACGCGTATACATAAATGTTTGCGTGGTTGGAATTGTTGGCCAAAACCAAAACGTCCTGCAGCTGAACTTAAAACAAGTGTGTGTGTCCTTTTCATTTAGCAGGTCTTTAGGGACTCCACTACTAAAATGGGAAAGAGGAAGGCGAGACTCGGCCAAGGGTACCCCGAAAGTTGAGCCAGTGCGGACTGAAGGAGTCGGGTCGTGCCATATGGCTCGGAATTATTCTTCATTTCAATCATCCTCCCTTCTCTCGTTTAATTCAAAGGCCGTACATACGTACGAGTCCCCATTCATTGAGGAAATTCATTGTGCTCTGATTACGACTGCACAATACATAAAAGCGATAATACTCATCAACAGCCTGTGCTTCTCTCTTAGAAACTTGCACAACTGCTCGCCTCAATCAGATCTGATGTGCTAAATGCTGATTATTTAAAGTAGGATTTGAAATTAAGGATGATAAGTATTCATATTCGTACGTCTGGTAGAGTGACATATGGAGTTGACATCTCCTTTCTATGTGGTAATTCGTAATCAAAATAAATATATATCCAACATACGTACATGTGTTCAATAAGATCCCAACAAACCACCTTCGTCCAACCTGTCCTAACTTGTCAGACCACAAAAATAAATAAAAAATAAGGATGTAAGGGAAAGTAACTTGAGTAAAATCGCATGCTAGTCAGATAGGTTTCCTGTGTTTCTTTGGTGGATTTCAAGAAAATGCAGAGACATCAACAAAGCCAGGATTGACGTGCAAATGAGATTAGGATTGGTTTTGGAAGGAGGCCCAGTCCCAGCCACCTCCTCCAATCGTAGGCCGGTGCAGCGGAAGGGCGTTGCAGAAATGGGCCGACCGACTTTCACTAGCTCTTTCCCCTCGTTCTCTCTCCAGTTGCCCAATGCCTTCCGACGTCCCAAAATCACAACAACTTTCTTTCCGATTTTCCCAACATTACAACTTCTCTCATAGAGGATGCTCACAATCACAGCGAAAGTGAAAGTGAAAGCAGCTACTTGAGTGAAAGGGGTTTAGGATAAAATTAATTAATAATTTCTCTTTCGCTTATTCATGATTGATTGAGTGCTAAGTTAAAGCTTGATAATGATGTTAGCTAACTCTTCTTATAAATCACAGAAATTTATATCTACAAGAGGTTTTTTAGCAATCACATAATTGAAATCACAAATACATATTGCATTGCAAATTTTCTTACGAAATACGTCAACAGCGTATAGTAAATAGCTTCTAAAAATTATAATAGAAAATACATTTTGCAGGGGTTAATGTAGTACAATTTTTCTTGCTAAATAAAATAAAGTTTTCAACATTAAAAGAAATCAAAAAGACTACAATCAAAACCGTTGGATGTCGTTGGATGTCCGCATTACTGTTCGGAATCTATGTACAAATTTCTATTTACTAATCGTAAGACTGCTTCCAAAGTAGACTCCTGGTACCTGAAAATACGCTAAGAAAGTTTCTACTTATATTACTCCCACTCTCTCATTTTGTGTGGAGAAAGAATTTCATTGGAAAATCCAGTAATGAAAGTATGTAAGAATGAGTTCATACATATGTCTCGGTTTATAAGTAATAAGAGTGAAACACAGCTTGACGAAGTGGAACGAGACGGGTTTGTTTTTGTATTTCTGGAACAGATTTTTCAATTTCCTGTGTAATATTACATCCTCGGGTCTCCTTTTGGCAATTTGACATGAATATCCTGAACGAATAAAGGCTGGAAGAACATGCTTATGCTTGTGTGCATACCTCCTCAAGACCTTTTTTGAGTAAACAAGGAAAACGACGGAAGTTTCAGAAGAGGGTTTTTGAAATGCAATAAATTTTCCTCCTCTTCTCTGTGTAGACATCAACTGGTTGTGGGATGGATGAAATATCTTCTCAAATTACATGAAAAGTAAAGCAACCGCTGGAGTTTTGCTGTAAATTTGAAATTCGCATTGTCCTAGACGTGGGGGATGAGACCAAGAATGCATGAAAGCAAAATCATGAACCGAACAAATAAAAAGTGAAATTCTAGAAAACTCAATCACAAAAACTCTTTTTCCAGCTACGGTTGGCAATCTATACTCTGGGGACGTTTGCTTTCTTCATCGCGTGGGCCTTGTAAAATAAAATATGATCGTAATTCCATACGAAGCACTTTATTTGAACAACCCATCACTTGATCCTCCTCCACGTAACTCACTCACTAGCTTGGTCCCTAAATCCGTGAGCACACATATTTACTTTTTCCTTGCGCCTTCCTGGCCCAACATTGGAAAATATGTCAAAATCAATACAAATTCGGAATCGGATTAAGCAGCGTCAATTATGTATATATAATGCATGCACTAAATCATATTGCATAAATGAAGACTAATTTCGGCGGAGTTTCCAAGTTTAGAAACTGACCGACCGGAACAGTTTAAATTGTAATTTATTTTATTGCGCACTCGTTGCTGCGTAGGCCCTCGAGTGGTGGGTGCTGGAGGAAGGAAGGATTCGGAAAGCCTACAACAACAGGTTTCCTTAAATCTTTCCTCTTTCTAAGAAAGTGTCTAAGAGGATGATCATTCTGCTTTTTCGACTTTTCCATACTAACTCGGAGTGAAATGTGTTTGTGAAATCCTCGCATTCCACGCACTGTTGCATCCACCAGGTGCGGAGCTGTCAGAACCTTCATAATGGAATAATGTTGGCTTCGTTGGGTGGCTGGTTGGCGTGGTCTTTTCATCCACACTGCATCACAGCCAGCTTTGCCTACCTCGCAACAATAAGATTTATAAATCCTGGTGATAGGATAGAAGGGACAAGATTTGGATTTTCGAATTGTGGGAAGCAACCAACCATGGCAAACATAATCTCACAGCTCTGGCTGCTGCAGATAGAAGGAAATCATTTTGGCAGGTTTGAGATCGAAATTACTTTCTCCACCCAGAGCCACTAACTACATACGCGACTGTTGTTCAGGAAAAGAAGGTAGCAAACTTTATCTCCAAACTCAGCCAGCCGGACTAGACTGTTTTTTTAGATGTAAAAAATATAAAAAATTTCCACCATTTTTGAACCTCCTCCAATGGCTATCACCTCCACGATTTCCACCTCCAACCATATTTATCCACCACTTTCCGAATGAGTTGACGTGAATGAATTCACAAATCACAAAGTTTATCCTCCAAAGTATCCGATGGCGAGCTACGTATATTGCTCAAACGCACGAATTTGGGATGAACATGAAGATAGAAATAAGACATGGATATTGGTTGGTGGTGGTCGTTGGAGAGGGAAGCATCACAGCAGTAGCAGTTAGTGGTGGATATGGGCTAAAGCACTGAGTAAAAATGAAATATGGGGACTTGGACACGGAGAAAGGTCCGCCAATCGTTATTTGGATGGACTCGCAGGACTTTGGACAAGTAGAATTGGGTAAAATATTATGAAAACTATGTGGCGAAAGTGGTGAGGTATGATATCTTTACTATCACACATATTATGGGCGATTCGGGATATGTGTGTACTTGCATGACCAGAATGGGTTCGTGTATTTGTTCAATTCAACGATAATCAATGGACGAAGACTATAGAATACAGAACTTTGCCGACTTTTTCGAGTCAGACAACTTGCTTGTACATGCAACTTTCAGGAACAACGAACCAACTACGTCGCCATGCCAGTCTTTCTCTCTTTCTTTCTTTGCCTGGCGTTTGGGTGTAGGATAGAACTTTTTCTTTCCTTCGTGAGACATTCGTGGATGTGGATTGAAATGTGAATGTGGTCGTCGAAAGAAGAAACTTTTCCAAGATTGTTTAGGATTAGAGGAAATCCATTATTACGTCCATTCAATGCCTCTAATTGCATCTGCCAGTTGTGAGACTGAATAGATTCACAATTTTTCTTCTTCCTCAATTGATCAACTCCTGTATTCAATTCAATCGAAGGGAGAAATCAAATCCAATGCTTTCCACTTACTTTTCTTTGTACAGAAGGCGTTCATGCGATGGGGCACCATTTGGGCTTGTGTTGTAATGTGGTGGTAACATGTGCATCTGTGTGTGCTTGCATTGTAGCCATCTCATCTCCTCAGTCAATCCTCACGACTACGAACGTACTTTGTTTACCTACACGTCTTCTCCTGTCCACTTCTTCACCTCCCAAACCAACCTTCCTTCTCGCATGCAGAGATGTATACGTTGCCACTTTCTCTCACTCTGCCTCCTGGAAATAATGATGTCCGGGATGAGCTGTCCCGTTTTTACAGGCCAATAAAATTCTGATGAGAAATGTATCAGTTCCAAAATCAATGTAAATTTTTATTCGAAATGGGTCATCGTACAAATTTTGGAATATGAGAAACAGGAACTTTTAATGTTAGATTCGACTTTCACAACCGCCATATAAAATAGATAACATTTTTTCCTGAAAAATATTGATGAAATTGGAAGCTTTTTCCTACTCATGGAAATGCTATCCCAATAATGTACGAACCAAACCAGCATCACCCCGTCATGCCATTGCGTTAGCTGATCGACCCATCTCAAGTTGTGATGGAGCTCCATGCATAAGAGGGAAAGAAAGGACGAGAGACTGTCTCCGGGGTCTTGC